TACAATATTCAGAAGAGGCAACTTTCACGACATTTCGATTTTTTTTTCTTTTTAGTTTGAAATGTCAACTCGTTCTTCAGATGGACAGAGAACAATACAAGAGCAAAAAAGCGTAAGAATTTTTAGAACACTTAATTTGTATTTTTACAAATATTCGTAAACTTACGAAATAGAAAAAATGCTATAAAAATATCCAAGAAAAAAAGGAAAAGAAAGATAGCAATAAATACGAATATTAAATGAACAATTTAATCTACATTGCGCGGAAATTTTTGACTGTGAAAAAACCCTTGAAAGGCTAAAAAATGGAATAAACAATCAGAAAAAGGAAAATACGGTAATGTATTACATTGAATAATAGAGATAAGCACACTGTGTACATATCTGACACCAGTGTTACGTTAAGAACTTGACTACATCGTGTTTTGAAGCATCTGTTTTGGACAGTTGGTCAACTTGGTGTCGTTAGTAACAGGAGAGACATAAATGTCTCAGGTAATAGATGTGTCACTTAGGGACTAAATATGCATTGTCATTTGGCTACATGATTGAAGAGATTCAATCTTTTTTGATTGAACCCTTTTTTTTCCTATGGTACCATTCCCAATATTGAAAAAATGTATGACCGCGACACTTTTCACATCCAATTCTTCCGATGCATTTTGTCCCAAGAACCTCATAGTAGTAGGACATTCGCTTTGCAATCAGTAGGCCGGCTCAGTGCAATTCCTGCTTGTTGCACTGTACCAATTCAAAGACACAAACAGGTTGTTACTCATACTGTTCCTATACTTGTTATAATTTATATCGCCAAGTTTTATCTATTGAGAAGTTGTTGGCTCATTTTAATATACTGCCCCTCAAGGGCAAGTTCTGAAATGAGTTGTCAAATTCTCACTAAAGAATGGTCGCCAAGCATCTGGGTCTTTCAGACATGCTCAGATAAGATCTTTAAAATATCAAAGCCGTGGTAGGCGTTGGCAGGATAAAGAACCCTCACAGCTCAAAAGGCCCAGAGTGCTGAGTACTAAAGGTCTTAATATGAAGCCCCTTATTAGTAAAATCAATAAAGTCTTTATAAGTGTTAAAAATTCTTGACATAAACAATACAAAATCAACCGATGCAATTTTATAATACAAAAAAAATTAACAGATAGGATTTAAAAGTTTTTATTTTCAAAAGCAGATCAAGCAACGGCTTGCCATGTGTGCGCCCCCACCCACTTCCCATTATGAAATTCCTGGATCTGCCGCTGATTTTCTTATCTTTTTTTATGGAGAAATAAGTGTTTTAAAAAGTACTCTGTAAAATTAAAAAAATACTACACAGCAGGACCTTTGGGATATCGTGGGATTTGAAGAGTCTTGAATCTTTGTTACTAACTTATAAATGTTACTGTCCACTTACGCCTTGAGTATTAGTATTGATGATAGCAGCCTGCTTCCTTTTACACAGAACTTTGTGATGTTTTTTAATTTTCACTACAGCTCTGTCTCATGTATTGTCTGTCTAAATGGATATGCAGTGCATTTGGCTTATAGACATCTGATAGAATATCATATATTCAGCGAAGGGGGGGTGGGGTAGGTAGGTGGGTTGACAGAAAACACCCGAGTTTGCGGTGATCAACCCATGGGGGGCACACATTGTAAGAAAAAAAAATAACATTCACTACAGTCCGAAATGTTTTACATAGCATTTCCTTCTTTTTTAGTTGTTCAGGTCTGATAGAAACATTTGATAGTTTGTTGTTTTGCTGGGCAGTTGATTGAAGAATTTGTCAATGACTTCCACTGTTGTTTGTTGTCTTAGCTTGGGAATTCTCCAGTTCAGTGAAAGTTGCTGTATCAGTACTTATCAGGATGACAGCAAGAGATTTTCCTGAGATGAAGGTGAGCTTTACAGTGTATTAAGGTACCAGGTATGTTAGGATTAGGAGTGTTTTCACAAAAGCCACAGTACCCATTTTTCCTGTGTAGATATCTATTACAAGTGTTTTTAATTAAGTGCTAGTTCCATTATAAGTATCAGGGTTCTCCACAAGGGGTTTTACCATGGCGGCCCGCCATGGTTAAATTTATGTGCGCCATGGTTAAAATCGGCAGCCGCCATGATTAAATCTTATTGCATTTTAGTCTTGACACCTACTTTTTTAATGACTTGAGTAGTTAATTGTGTTTATACTATGATTGCCATGCACCTTGCATGTCTGTAAGGAAAGCGGACAGTGCTAAACAAACATGTTGTTAATCAGCGACTATGCTGTGAAGCGTGACAATCAATGGAGACTCAATCAGCTGTTCAATTTTTTGAGCATTTATTATCCTGTGCACATGTTAATAATTTTGGGGAACTTCAACATGTTCGCTACATGATTAGATAACGGGTTCAAAAGATGACAATTAATTATGAGCATGATAATAATCGTCATGCATGCGATTGAAGTTTCTGTGCCAGAAAAGATACTCTGTAAAATTTTAATATTGATTTCCTCTGTATTTAATCAGTTTTCCATGCTCTGTTTCTTTAAGCTTTAGAGTTTAAACTGTTTTAGAGTTACTTCCCGTTGTAATGAAACGTCTCGTGACACTATTTTTAGCACTGGGGCACGTTTAGAAGTAAACAGAACTTGGTGAAAAATGCACTATCTAGAAAAATAGAACGTTTAGAAAAAGGGACACTGGTACAAATGTTCTTTTGAGTGTTAACTTAAAAAAATACTACACATTCATCGGTTTTAGTCTTATTTAATTAAACATTTCATACAACAGGCTATGTACAACAATTCTTCTTATTATTTTTTGAATGATATTGCCATGGTTACTGTACCAACAATTTTTCTTTAAATTCTTTCAGAAGTTTACTACAGTTTTGGGCTAATTTTGGTACATTTTTAGGTCACCTGAGTAAACTCAGGTGACCTATTGCTATCTGTTTTTGTCCGTCGTGCGTCATGCGTTAACATTTAAACATTTTCAGCTTCTTCTCTGAAACCACTGAACCAATTTCAACCAATTTTGGCATATAGCATCTATGGGTGAAGGGGAACAAAAATTGTGAATTTCGTGGTCCCTGCCCCCCTGGGGCCTGGGGGGTGGGGCAAAAACCACTAAAATTAGTGCAATCTTTAAAAATCTTCTTCTTTACTCCCAGACATCAAGCAGTCAAACTGTTGGTATGATTGTAATCAGCATTGAGTCCTCTACCAAAATTGTGAAATTCATGGCCCCAGGGTCAGGGGTTCTGGTGTTAGGGCGGGGCTCTATTGATTATATAGTGAAAATGCATTAATTCTTTGAAAATCTTCTTCTCTGCTCCTGGGTGTTAAATAAACTAATTAAGTTCATAGTTATGATGAGCAAGAGTGCCTCTACCAAAATTGTGAATTTTATTGCCCCAGGGTCAGGAGTTATGGTGTTAGGGCGGGGCTCTATTGATTATATAGTGAAAATGCATTATTTCTTTGAAAATCTTCTTCTCTGTTTCTGAGTATTAGATAAACTAATTAAGTTCATAGTTATGATGAGCAAGAGTGCCTCTACCAAAATTGTGAAATTCATGGCCCCAGGGTCAGGGGTTCTGGTGTTAGGGCGGGGCTCTATTGATTATATAGTGAAAATGCATTAAATCTTTGAAAATCTTCTTCTCTGCTACTAGGTATTAAATAAACTAACTAAGTACATAGTTATGATGAGCAAGAGTGCCTCTACCAAAATTGTGAAATTCAGGGCCCCAGGGTCAGGGGTTCTGGTGTTAGGGCGGTGCTCTATTGATTATATAGAGAAAATGCATTAAATCTTTGAAAATCTTCTCTGTTCCTGAGTATTTGATAAACTAACTAAGTACATAATTATGATGAGCAAGAGTGCCTCTACCAAAATTGTGAAATTCATGGCCCCAGGGTCAGCGGTTCTGGTGTTAGGGCGGGGCTCAATTGATTATATAGTGAAAATGCATTAAATCTTTGAAAATCTTCTTCTCTGTTCCTGAGTATTAATTAATCTTATTAAGGACATAGTTATGATGAGCAAGAATGCTTCTACCAAAATTGTGAATTTTATGGCCCCAGGGTCAGGGGTTATGGTGTTAGGATGTGGCTCTATAATGATTATATGGTGAAAATACATTACATCTATGAAAATCTTTTTCTCTACTCCTGGGTAATAAGCAGAATGAACTATTAACATAGTTATGATGGGATGGGCTCTTCTTCCAGAATTGTGAATTTCAAGGCCCCTGGGTCAGAGATATTAAAATGGGGAGGGGGTGCTCTACTTATATACTGAAAATGAATTGTTTGAAATCTGCTCCTTGGTATTAATCAAACATTTTTGATAAGCAAGTGTGCCTTTTCAAAAATTGTGCGATGTGTAGACCTAGGGTCAGGGGTTCATGTGTGGTAGGAGCACTCCTGATTATTGCTGAATATTACTGATTAGTTGACATACTTTTTTGTTCCCCTACCCTGCTTATCCATATTAAGTAAACAAACTAAACAATTGCTAAGTGTATAATTATGATTAGCAATGGTGCCTCTTTCAGAATTGCATCTAGCTTAAAACATGAACCAAATTCAATCATTTGAAAGTTGTTGCATGATGCTCAGGTGACCTATAAGGCCCATGGGCCTCTTGTTAAAGTAAGATACAGGATAAATCATTTCAATTTTAATAATAATTTTTTTTTTTCAAATTTAAAAGGAGTTTGTTATTCCATTGATTTGTGTTGCAGTGGTTATGTTTGAAAATTGTAAAACCAATGATTGATAAATGAAGATTTGGAAGTCTTACTCTAACACCCATTCATGTTTTCGGTCACATTTCGCCTTCGCGCAGGTTCCTCCATGGTTAAATTTTCAAATGTGGAGAACCTTGAGTATTACTAGTAATTGATTTAAACTTAATTTTCTCCTACTTCATAGCAATAATTGAATGATGTAGAAAATGAAGCATTATCATGGCATTCAATTCAAAATTATGTTTAAAGTAATCATGGTACGTATGTTCACGTACAGTTAGTATCATTTTAAAGGAGAGATCAAAAAGATATGAAAACTGTTTTCTGAAAGAGTATTGGCAATACTAGCTGATGCATTTCCTTCATCTAAGATTGAAAAAATTCCCATATTAATGCAAGACCTCCCTCTTTTTCGATTAAAAATTGCAGTTTGAAATATGTGTTTTTCATTCAGTTGACCTAAAAAAACAAGTCCTGTCAGATACATCTTATTCTACCAAGCTACATTTGTTAGGGATCATTAGAAGGATTTGTTTCTCAATCTTGAGAAATCTGTATCCACCTTTCATTTACTAGATCTTTACCTTGATATTTATTTATAATGAATTACACTAGTATGAAACGATGAATGATAATCCCAGAACTTGTGTCTAAATTTTCTTTTTAGCCGGGCTTATTGCTCAAAGAGCAATTGCCGGCTTATGCGATCCTGTTCAAGGCAGGATGTTAACCCCATAGTCGCCATTTTAAAGTTACGTGCAAAAATATAGTTCTTACTCTCAACCGCTTTTGAGATAATACAAACGCTAAATAAAGCAACAAAAATAAAACGAAGTTTTATCTATATAAAATAAACATTAGTAGTAATGACTTTGAAAACTTCATAAGTCAAAGAACATAGTTCATTAGCATAAGGATTTTTGATAATCAGTGTTGTTACCGTAGTTCTCTACACATACGAGGTAAAGCAGGAGAGGGAACCAGACTGGCCTCTTTGTTTACATTCAGCTGCGGTACCAGATTAAATCTGATTCTGACAAAATCGGACCGTGGTATTAGGATTGAAAAACTCACTGTCAGTGTCTTATCATTTATATTGATAGTTTTAAAATAATTTTTTAATCAGAATATATTAACGTGATTCATGTAAGAAATCCATTCTACTCTGTAAATGAGCCCGGCTCTCTGTACTTCTGAGTACTTTGATTTCTTTCAGGAAAACAGATGTAAAGTTCAACTATATCTAAGGCAATAATAAAGATGGCAGAGAGGAGTTTTGTGGTATGATCACCTGAAAATTATTAATCATAACAGTAAAATATTTAATTGTGTTAATATTTTGCATTTGATAAGAATAGCTTATATTGTTTCTACTACATTTTTTCAATGCTAATTTTATTATGGGTAGTATTATATCAATTTATATGGGTGAAAAAAGGACAAACTAGTAAAGATTATTTCATCAATTTTAGATTTTGTACACAAATCAGAAAACAAAGAAAGCCAAGACTTGGCATGATGGCACTCTGAGATTTTCTGGCAATGGAACAAGGGTATGTTACACGTGTATTACTGAAAACTTCATTTAACATTTTCGAGTTGCAAGCACTCTTCAAATGTACAAGTTAGCTTTTCACATTTAAGGTGTATCTGGCATCTGTCTGATATCTGGAAACTTTTAGAATTAATTTTCAACTTCTTAAAATCTTTAGGGTGTTCTTTATGACGACAAGAGTAGCAGAATCGACACAATTCATGTGAGGTCAGAGGATATCGTGCTGGGTGAACAACTAGAGAGTGATCGACACTACATCTTGATAGAGGAGGAGTCTAAAGCTGGTGTGACCAATCAGAACGATGCTCCTAAAGATCAACCAGCCGCTGGACCAATCAGAAGAGGGGGAAATAAATCTCAGATCAGGACAGGTCTCAAGAAGGGCCGTGGAGTAAGTTGACCAAAAATTTGCCTGTTACATTTGAATCTCTGAGGTAAAAAAAAACAAACAAATACACTATAGGGTCAGCATTTAATGTAAAGAAAGTTAAGAAGAATACCATAAATTAATGATCAGACTCATTCAGTACAAAGTGTACTGTTTAGGATGTGGATTTCAAAAGTCAAGTTAATTCCCAGTAATAGCGAATGTCATTTTATAACTTGAAATAAATGTGCATAAAATAGACAGACAGATAATAAATGTTGACTTATACAGAAATTAGCATGCTATGTTTAAGATATTTAGTTTTCTAGATTCTTGTTTATGATATGATACATGTACTTGGAGTTTGTGTCTTATAAATTGTCACAAATGGGCTTGTTTTATAATGATATGCAACTTTGCACTTTATAGATAAAAGAGCTTTTAATAAACATGCCATTTGCATCATAAATAATGCAAATGCTTTTACATCCCGTAGTATTATAAAACATGTTTTTGATTATTTTCAAAATAACTATCTGTTATTATATGACAATATTCTCAGGTGATTAAGACAGACTGTCTTCATGCCATTTCATGAAAGTTATAAATCTTTGTACTTTATAATCTGCATCACTTTATCCATTATTTTGTTCTCTTTCAGTTTTCCTAATGTATCTTTGAGAGTTAAATTGATGTACTTTTGAATGTTTGTTATAGAACTTCATATTCATGTTTAAAGTTGTAAATCTCATATTTGCTAAATAAGTAATTGGTAACCTTTTTCCTCTACATAGGGCTTTGTTCCTCCAAGGCTTGTTGCACCAAAAGACCCAGAACCTCCAAATCACCACACAGCTAACACAAACTGTGGAGAGACAAAGGTTCACAGTCCAGTCAGAAACTCTAATCATTATGCATCATTTCAAAGAAGATACAACATTTTAAATCAAGTTAGTCCCAAAAGAACTTTGTCAGACTTAAACAAATCAGAGATGTCAGCAACAAGTCCCCTGATCCTTAACAGTGGACCCCAAATCTCACCAGATAGAGTATTCTACAGAGAGAATTCCTCACCTCTGATTGGTCTGCTAAACAAAAGGTCCCTGACAACATCTCCATGGAGCACAATTGGATCTAGCCAATCACCAGGCAGCTCAAAATTAGATTCTCAGCTAGATACAGACATTCAAGAACCAGAAACAAAGCCCTCCAATCATTTTGTCAAAAAGCAGATAGTTCAAAACACAATGCAAGAAAACTCCTTTACTTCACATCAGAAGAGAAGTACTACACAAATTTTAGCTCTTCTATCCAAGACATCTTGCAAATCTCATATTGCAGAAGGCACCTTGTGTAATAAAGATTCACATATGTCAAAATCCTCCCCCCAGAATAGACTTTTCAGTACATGTACTGATAAACGGAAATGTTCATTCGATACGAGTCCTTCAATTCGGCCTTTGGCTGAGGTGAAAGGGGAACAACTGTTACAGTGGAACCAACAACAAGGAGGGTTACCTGGCACACCAGGCATCACTAACCTAAGCATTGACCGTGAGCAGTCATACTCCTCACAAAGATCATATCACAACAGTGGGTCATTCATTGCTGATTCTAAAAACCAACCAGATGACAGTCATTACGACCTGATATCAACACCAAGTATGGTGACTTATATGGAGTCTGGGAGATCCATATCATTGAATAATAGTCCTGACTGTCAGCCAGAAAGTAGAATGGAGGGTAAACCTCAACATATTGTGTGCAGTGATCCTGAACAAATTACAATGAGTGACACTTTGCAAGTAAAAAGTGAATCTCTGCAGGTTATACAAAGAGAACCTCTGCAAGTAGTAGAAAGTGAACCTCAGCACACTTTGGTAAGTGAACTTGAACCCATTGTAAAAGAGTGTCATCCAAGAGTGCATAATAAACCTCAGTATAAAGTAACAAGTGAGCATCAGTTAAATGCTTTGGATGAATGCCCAGACAATCTTACAAGTAACATTGTTAATGAAAAAGATTCTGCTGTCTCAGTGCATGAAGTAAATACACAAGCAGAATTGACAGAAGTTGAATCACCTCAGAGAGATGTCAGTCTCCACAAGGAAGAGATTTCTAGGCAGTGTAATGAGAGTTCTAGTCAGCGTATTGACACACAGATGGAGAGTGAGGAGGATTTAGGGGAGGAGGGAGAAGAGGATGAGATGGACGGTCAGGGAGGGGCCTCGTTTGCCATATCTTTCTCCCCGTTGTCTGTGATACCTTCAGACTCAGACAGTGACCGTGAGGAACCACTGTGTAGCAGAGAAAACACCCAACAGCAGGAGGAACAAGACTACAGCAACATTCAGAGGCCTGGCATGTCAGCAGAGGTATCAGGCTCACTGACATTGGAAGGGAAGATAATGGTTAATAGAGAAGGTTCAGGTGAAACAGAGGTGATTCAGGATGATGTGGCACTGCAGAAAGAAAGTCAACATATGGAAGTAGGAGAGGACAGAAACATGCCTACCTGCCAGACTGATGCCAAAGATGAGAACAGTATTCAAGAGAAGGAAGGTATCAATTGTAAAACTGGGGATGAAGTCAGTTGTTGTTTGGATTCAAGTCAATCACCTGACACAATTGTAAATGAATATAGAGAAAAACAAAGAAGGAAAGAAGAGGAGGGAAAAAACATAAGGCAGGAGGGAATGTCTCAGAAGAAGGTTAACTGGCCAGAAAGATTCAGAGGGGTTTTCTCAAAAGTCACTAGGATGTCTAGAATTGAGCCCAGATTCACCAGGATGTTTATTCAAAAGTTCTCAAACAAATTCTAACTGGATATCACAAAATGCCAATTTGATGATGAATTCATCAGATATACAAGTAGGAAATGTTAAATTGCCTGTGTTTGAAACCAGCTGGTCTGAAGATGATTCCATGTTTGATACATCTCCTTTGAAACTGCACAGACAGCAACAACAGGAAAACAAAGGTGACTCTGCACAGTCAAGTTTTAATTCTTTGAAATGTTCTGAAAAATGTGATTCAGGGGACAGTACTCAGATGGAGGGCAAGCCACATAGAGTAGAATGTAGTAGTATGGAACATGTTGAAGAGGAAAATGTATTTAAAAATCGACATTTCCATCGTTATGATCAGTTCAAATCAAAACAAGAGTCTGACCAGCCATGGGTCAATGAGGAGACAGATTCCTACAGTGTCACATCAGACGTGATGTTAGCTGTAGGGGGCCACACAGAAATTAACTGTGCGCCGAAATTACTGAATTCCGTGACTTGGAGAAATTATGTGCCAAAGACAGAACCATCTTACTGTAAGTCTTCCCTCCTTTTGTTACCAGTACTTTGAGTGACATGTAGCTTAGCTTATAGCTATACATGCTTGTCAGTCATTGTGAATAAATTTTTCACACTTTCAATTTTCATAAGACCATTGTCAAATTATATACTATTTGATTTCTAGCTCTCAGTGATCTTCCTCACCCATCAGAACTCATCAAAAGTCCTCGGAAAACAGAAGAGAAGGATCTCTCTGAGAAGGTCAAGTTTATTTTAATTTTTATCTTTGTACAACCAATTTTTTTGTTAAATTAATTTTCAATAGGTTAGAGGGCAAGATGGTTGTTTCACTTGTTTTAAATTGATTATTAAACCAAAGATTACTTAATGCTTCTTTTAAAGCACTTGATAAAATTTTCATTTAGCTTTATAATGCAGTTAGTGTACAAACATTGAATAGATTTCTGAGAGACTGGGTTCATACAGAATGAGAGGCAGTGTCAGTGGTATGGGTGCTCAGAGACAATCTCAACGGACAGGCTTTGATACTAAGACTGGACCAAACATCACCTTAAGTCAAGTAAGACGTGGCCTCAAAGCTGAGAAAATAGGTAATCTTTTACATATTTGAAGATTGAGCATTGCATTTCTAATCAAATTTGAAAATTGACAAAGTAAATTAAAAGTTTAAAACTTTATTTAATGTTGACAAGTTATGTAATAGAAATTGAAGACTTTCTTTCATTCGTTATCAAGAATTTCAATCAGAGGAAGCTGTCCGTGGGGATTGGATTGACAAGTTACAAGTTGACCACAAAAATAAAGAGGTGAGAATTTAAACCATTCTGTTGGATATTTGTGAGTGTTTTTCAAATGAATTATTCAGTTCTTATCATTTAATGCATATCAGATATTTTTCTGTCACAGAATCTGTCACAAATTGGGAGTTCAATGAATACTGCTAAACCTTCTTATGTGAAAAGAAACTATCCCAATCACAACAACTTTCGAAAGCATTGCATTAGGAATGATGAGTCCACAACAAGATTATGTCCTCAGATTGGTATGATGTCAACCAACAGCCCTGGCATGCTGCTGGAAACAGAAGAAGAGGTGCTGAACAATATAAGTAACAATAACAGCTTTATCACATCAGGATCTGTCACGGTATTTAACTCACATGATGAAGAGATCTGTAAGGACAGTGTATATGGAATGTCCAGGAGAATGTTCTCTCCTGATGTGGAGTCAGCCAGGGACCCTCCTAAGATAGCCCTGAGAAGCCAGCCATTTGGCGATCAGCAGTGTCAAGAGTTACAGTCCCACTCTGTCAGAGATACAGAGTATGGATCAGTGAGGGACCCTGGTAAGATAGCCCTGGGGAGCCAGCCATTTGATGATCAGTGTCAAGAGTTACAGTCCCACTCTGTCAGAGATACAGAGTATGGATCAGTGAGGGACCCTGGTAAGATAGCCCTCGGGAGACAGCCATTTGATGATCAGTCTCAAGATTCCCCGTCATACTCTGTCAGAAATACAGAGTATGGATCAGTGAATTCATCAGGACAAGAGTTAGATACCAATCTTAAAGACCTCAACAGAGATGATTCCATCGAAAATGCAGAATCTGTTGTGTCCAAGTGGGGGAAGTTTATGCCTATGGATGAGGAGGAAGAAGACCTGGATTATTTGAACTGTTCTTATGACTTTAACACGTCTTCAGGAAAGATAAATTCAGAGCCACAAAGACGTAATCATAACGTGGCCACAAGTCATATGGCAGCTGCATCTGATCAATCTTCCCAACTGGGCTGTTTCAGGAGCACTGCATTGAACACACCTACACTGAGAGGAAATGCAGACACTGTCACATCTTTTAATGATACAGAGTGTATCAGAAAAAGTAGAAAGTTCTGCTTCAAAGGCAGGCAACATTCATTTACTGATGATAATAATGACAGTATGCTTTATGAAAGTAATCAAGCTACTGCCAAAAATGCTATAATACAAAGAAATATGGAAAGTAATTATACACCAATCAACATAATAGATTCTTCTAGTTTAGATGTCAACCAGAAAAGTTACTCCTCAAACCATGGAAACTTAACAAGCTCCTCCAATCAGTTTGTAGGAATATCCCCTAACCTTGACCTTATATGTCTTGGTTCCTCTCCAAGTTTGTATGATTCTCCAGAGCAGAAGTCATACAGACATAATTCTCCAGCTAGCCTGTCACTCAAGTCAGTAGACATAGAACTCACTAAACCCACCAGTCAGAAAGTGCCTGTTAGTGAGAACTCTAAAGTCAGTTCTGAAGTTAACTCCCCTATGTTTGACTCTCCAGAGCAGAAAACCTACAGATTTAATTATCCAGACAACCAATCCCTCAATTTAGAAGAAAAAGAACTCGCTAAATCCACCAGACAGAAAGTGCCTGTTAGTGCAAGCTCCATAGCCAGTTCTAAATTTAACTCCCCTATAGGCCAGAGAGTGCCAGAGACAGACATTTCAGATGGTTCATCAGATTCTGTGATATGTATCAGTGCTGAGAGGCGATTCAATCCTCCAATATTCAACTCTACCTCCTCACCAAACATCCTAATTGGATCAAAGGTTTGTCACATTTTCTTTAGCATAGGGAAAAATCTTTTTAATGAATATGTTTGTATGAATGTTTTATAACTAAAACTCTCTTTTCTTCCAGAGAAGTTTATGGGATGACCTTCAGTTTGCCAGCCTGTTAGAAGTAGAGAACAACCCCACCCCAGTCAGGAAGATCGTTCAGTACATTGTCCAATCAGTACATTGTCCAATACAAACAGAGGTTAGTTCATTGTCCAATACAAACAGAGGTCAGTTCATTGTCCAATACAAACAGAGGTTAGTTCATTGTCCAATACAAATAGAGGTCAGTACATTGTCCAATACAAACAGAGGTCAGTCCATTGTCCAATACAAACAGTACATTTTCCAATACAAACAGGTCCTCATATCTGCCCTCAGAGGTCAGTACATTGTCCAATACAAACATATCTGCCCTCAGAGGTCAGTACATTGTCCAATACTTACACTAGCTGGTACAGTCCAAATGTATCAGTACCTGTATTAGCTTTCTGGACACTATTTATTTATTTTATCCTATCATAATTATTAAAGTTCATCAAAATATAAAGCAGTTATCAAAAATTTGTTGTGTCAACGCACTGGACAGCATCATTTTGTTTTCTCTCATTAAAATGTCATTACAAACGTTTCTTGAAAAACAGACACCACAATTTTTGACATTTCCAAGATAGTAATTACTCTTTATTACATCTTTCATTTGTTACTTTTATATTTCTTATAAACATTTAAAGCAATATGAGCTGCATGTTTGACATCGGAAAATTTTATTGCAAATTTGTGATTAACTAATTTAATGACAAAAAAATAAATGATTTATAAACTTCTGTTATTCATATTTGCGATTGAAAATATTTTTATTAGCATTGATTGAAGCAAAATTGAATTAATTGTCGTCCTAGAGGTCAGTGCAATAATGATTTCTTATATAAATGTCCTCTCTCAAGAGAGTATATTTGTATCTTGCTTACCATAAATTATATTTCCTTAGTTGATTAAAAAATATTTTAACTTTTTATTTTGTTTGAGCACTTGAACATAAAGGTTTAAATTACATACAAATTAATCATAATAGCACATTCACATTACCAGGTACATGTAAATAAAATTTTCAAAAATCACTAACTTTTATATTTCTAATAAACATTTGAAATTGAACAGATAATATTTGACCAGGTTCTTGGCAATTGTCAGTGTTAGGATCTCTTATGAATCTTGATTTCAGTGAAGAACACCCAGTCCAGTCAGTCCAGGGATACAGGATCCCCCTTACCACCCTGTCACTGTGGGGTCTCCTCCAAACTGGTCCAGGTCAGGAAGGAGGGGCCCAACAAGGGGAGATATTTCTACTCCTGTCCCAACCCAGCCAGCCAGAGGTGTAAGGTACACAGGATTCTATATAAACCCTATAGGTATAACTTTTAGCGAGGATTTAATGTTGGCATTATTAGCGAGGGTGCCGAGATCGCTAAAATTGAATATCAATAAACATTTGCTGCATTTTATTTGTAATAGCTTCTTTAGTGAGCATTTTAAATTGCTAAAATTACATCACCCTACAAAAAAAATATTGGTTTTTAGGAAAAATCTCTTAATTTGTGTTTTGCCAAAATTTCCATTTACATGGTACATGTATTCTACTCTGAAATATGGTAGACAAAGACAAAGTATTTATCAATGAGCCATTATTTATTTATGTATCTAACATTATAATATATTTTATGATTCAGTTTTTCCAATGGGCCGACTCCAGTGGAAACATAGGATTACATCACATGGGCGGAGCTAAGGTTCGATTGACAGATGCTGGTAGTGTGACATCATATTTCCGTCAACACCGTATCATGTTCTATTGTCAGTGCCAGTACCTTCAGAAGTCGATGGAAACCATTCTGGCCCACTTCAAAAATGTAAGTCTCTTAGTAGTCAGTGGAGGAACCATTCAATTTTTCTTTGGTAAAATAAAAATAAACCTTTTGTATTCAATTTCCCTTCAGCCATGGGCAAAGCAGAAGTATCAGAGGGAAAACAAAATGCAAAGAAAATACTTCATACGATTATCCAGAAAAGATTCCTCAACACTTTATTCCAAAGGTTTGAATGAAAATTATTGAAATACTTTTGAGTTACATTGTTCTCAATGCTGTTAGCAAGAATTAAATTTAACTTCATTTAAAACATACTTCTTTATTAATTTGTTTTTAAAAAAAATAAGTAGTAATAAATAATTAGTGAGGTGCCCACTGTATTTCAGATGATTTGTGGATAGTATCTAGAGACCTGAATTTTGATTCTACTTGTACCTTTCTGGCCAAAAGCACGTACTATGGACCAACATCAGGGAATGAAGTGGAGATAGAACCAGTGTCCAAGTTTTCACCATCCAACTGGAAAAATGAAGGTGTCTTTTTAGCTCTTCTGAGCTAAAGGCTCAAAGAGCTAATGCTATGGCCATTTGTGCGGTGTGCCGTGTGTGTTAACTTTTTTAGAATATGGGCCATAACTCAATAACTCAAGAACCCCTTGGCCAATTATTGTCAAATTTGTCACAGGGTATCCTTGGCCCAAGGGCTACCATTTACATACAAGGGTCAGGATATGTTGAAGATTAAAAATTGTTCAAGGCATGACCCTGGGGCAAAGGGCGTGGTCTCAAAGTCACTTCAAAGTTGACCAAAATTTAATTTTAAAAACGTTGTTATTTTGCTTACTATTAGGATCATCAAATCTTGTACGTTGATGTAATTGACATCATAATAGGTCACTGTGACCTGAACTGAGCCGAAGGCTCAAGTGAGCAAAATTTTCTGTATCGTTTCGTTGTCGTCGTTGTTGTTGTCGTTGTTGGATATATCACATTTTCATCTTCTTCTCAAGAACCACTTCGATTTCAACCAAACTTGGCACAAATATTTTAAAGGTTTTTCAAATGAAGGGCCACGCCCTTTTCCAAGGGGAGATAATCATAAATTTGTTAAAAATTAATGGCATTTTTAAAAAATCTTCTTCTCCAGAACCGATGGGCCAGGAAAGATGAAACTCATGTGGAAGCATCTTCAGATAGTGTAGATTCAAGTTTGTTCAAAGCATGACCCCCGCGGCAAGGGTGGGGCCAAAATGGCCGACCCAAGTTTTACATAGGAATATATAGGAAAAATCTTTAAAAATCTTCTTCTCCAGAACCACTGGGCCAGGAAAGATGAAACTCATGTAACTTCAGGTAGTGTAGATTCAAGTTTGTTCAAATCATGACCCCCGGGGCAAGGGTGGGGCCAAAATGGGCAAGTTTTACATAGGAATATATATCTTTAAAAATCTTCTTCTCCAGAACCACTGGGCCAGGAAAGATGAAACTCATGTGGAATCTTGTAGTGTAGACATGTGTGTGGGGCCAAAATGGCCACAAGTTTTACATAGGAATATATAGGAAAATTTTTTAAAAATCTTCTTCTCAAGAACCATAAAGATGCTATAGCCAAATATGTTTGTTCAAAAACCCCCGGGGCAAGGGTGGGGCTACAATGGCCGACCCAAGTTTTACATAGGAATATATAAGAAAAATCTTTAAAAATCTTCTTCTCCAGAACCACTGGGCCAGGAAAAGAAACTCATATGGAATCATCTTCAGGTAAGTAGATTCAAGTTTGTGTGCAAGGGTGGGGCCAGCCAAATTTTACAAGGAAAAATCTTTAAAAATCTTCTTCTCCAGAACCACTGTGACTCATTGGAAATTAGGTAGTGAATTTTTTTAAAAAAACAAAATGGCCGACCCAAGTTTTCTAGGAATATATAAATATCTTTAAAAATTTCATAATCCTGGGCCAGGAAAGAAAAATGTAAAAATATAGTTTGTTGTCATGACCCCCGTGGCTAGGGTTAAAAAAACAAGTTTTACAAGGGATATATAGGGAAACCTTTTAAAAAAACTTCAAAGCTATGATTAGTGATATTTATTATATACAGGTAGTGTAGACAGTTTGCAAATGATGAACGCCTGTAACAAATGTTTATGCTGTTGGAGCCTCTTGTTAAATTTTATGGGCTTTTGTTAGCTCACCTGAGCCGAAGGCTCAAGTGAGCTTTTCTGATCAAAATTTGTCCGTTGTCTGTCATTGTCGTAGTCGTTGTCGTAATTTTGATAGCAGAAATTTGCATGTCACAATCTTCTTTCAAGAAGAGAGAAATTAATGCACAAAGTTTATTGTCAGTTTGAAATAAGGGCCAGCCCTTTTCCAAGGGGAGATAATCATGAATTTGTTAAAAATTAATGGCATTTAAAAAAAAATTTATCTCTTGAGAACCACTGGGCCAGGAAAAGAAATGAAGCCTCATAGTGTGCTTGTGCTAATTAGTTTTAGAGAATATATCTTGAACCATGGCAGGAAAGATGAAACTCATGTGGAAACATCCTCAGGTAGAGCAGATCTTTAAATAGTTGTAATGATATATTAAAACAAATTGATGTGTTAGTGTATGATTAAAACTAAATTAGTATTGTATAATATGATTAAAACTAATTATATATGTGTTCATTTAAAAAAAATATATATTTCAATTTTTATATATTTGCAACAAAGATGCTATAGCAAATATATGGAAAAATCTTTAAAAATCTTCTTCTCCAGAACCACTGGGCCAGGAAAGATGAAACTCATGTGGAATCATCCTCAGGTAGTGTGGATAACTAGAAAACTATTAGTTTTACACAGGGATATATAGGGAAACCTTTTAAAATCTTCTTTTCAAGTACCTCAAAGCTAAAGTGATATTTATACATCATCCTAGGTAGTGTAGAAGTTTGTTCAAATGTGTGTTGCAGCCTATGTGCTCAAGGTCACTGTGACCTTGTTTTCAATTTGATTTAGAGGCATATTTTGACATTTTTTAAAAAACTTTATAGTTGGTGTCTTTTAAATTCTAAATTTATGGCTAATCTTTTCTAAAACATTTAATCACATTATTTCAGACAAAAGAATCACCAAAATATAGTTGATATAGAGGCCTTAAAACATTTATAAAAAACATTTAATTAGGCATTTGTTTTTGAATTGTTTAAAAGGCATATTTTTTCTATTAGACCTATGACCATCAAATTTTGTCAGTTGAATCTGTAACAAATGTTTATGCTTTGAGAGGAATTCAGTTTGTACTAATGGGCTTAAAAATTATCAAGCAAAAAGTAGGTCTGACCTAAGATTTTATGGCTAATTTTGATAGCAGAATCATCAAATTTGCATGTCAAATTAGAGAGAAATTAATGCTAGTTTTATGTTGTCAGGTACTAATTGGATTAGCATCAAACTTTGTCATTCGAGATCTTGGTGCAGCAGTAGGTCACATGACCTTAATTTTATCTAGTTTTATGTATCTCAGGTACTAATTGGTTTAAAATCAAATTTTGTCATTTGAGTTGTTGTGTTAATTAAGAGATTGGCTTAGAATCATCAAACTTTGTCCAGATAAAGATCTTTCAGGTCACATTGGTGTAATTAATTAAAACAATTTGATGTTTTAGTGTATCAAAATATAAAACTAAATTAGCTATATTTGTACAACTTATGAATTGTCAAACTAGTTTATACATGTGTTAATTAACCAATAAAAAAAAATATCCATTATATTTCAATTTTTTATATTGTGCTAGAAAATTGCAGTCAAAAATGTCACCATGACCTACTTATAGTATTTTATAGTTACATTTAAATAATCAGCCCTAACTGGCTAAGAATACATCAAACTTTGTAAGTCTCTTAGGATAGATGTATAATTTAAGAAAGGAAAATAGAATATATTGTAAAATTTTATCACTATTGAAATTTTATAGAAAGAAAAACAAGCATGCAAATAAAAGATTTATGTAGTCCAAGATTTAAAAAATCTAGATCCAAGGAAATTTTAAACTTGTGCATTTGTACAAATTTAGTAATTGCCATAATGTTTGAACTGCAGTTGAGCTTCTGTATTTTGTTTAATACCATGGATATATCATGGTAGTCTTAATTCTCAACCTTTATAAATATTTTAAAGATTTTTGAGAACTGTTTTAGATATATTAAAGATTGATTGTGTATGTATTTTAAATTACTAATAGATGCTCCTTGTCAAACTTTAAGTCTGAACAACAAACCTACATAATGCCAATTTATAGAAAATACTAAATTACTTCATGTCTCTCTTTTTACCATTTCCTGTGATTTGTTGCAGCCTCTTGTCATGCTGTGTTAGCTGGAAATGTCAGTTCTGAGCTTAGTTACCTTGACAACATACAGGACAATGTACAACAGAGTTGTCTGCCCATACTCAGCCAACTTCTCAGTGTGTAAGTGCAATAAATTAATTGATTACTGTGAATGTGAAACCACCCAATTATATTGTAAGTGATAAATTCTTCTTGTAAAATATATATGTAAGCGTTGTTGTGTATACATGTAATTTGTTTTATTCAGGGACGGTGCTGATGCTGGTAAGACCCACAAAGGATTCCAGCCTCCCAGACTGAACCATGGCAAATCAGCCTCTAACATTCACGTCCCTGTTTATGCTATGGTATTAATTTAAATAAATACTTAATGTTTCCACTCTTGATTGTTTTATTAAGAATTTTAATTTTATTGGCCACTGATTTGATGTGAAAGTACTAGTATATGTTTACAAATTTTATGGAATAATTTTATGACTGCAGCTAATGCACTTGTAAATAGATGATTAAAAATGTTCTTTTCTCACTTTGGATTCTAGCACTCCAAAGGATCTTATTTTTCATCCCATGTCAGAATGTGTTATGTAATGTTCCAAAATTTCTCCATTTTATGATTTGTTTTGTTTTTCAGAATGAGTTGGTTACTGAGTTTATGAGGACCTACTCTCTGAACTCGGACCAGGGCTCAGCACTGAGGAGACTGGCAGCCATGTTTTGTGAGGACAGTCACAGTGATGTGTCCTCCCTTCTTCTTATACACGGTATAGAGATGATGAATCCACTTTAAATTTACACAGAGATATTTTAGTTTTACTGAACACAAAATACTTGTACATGCATTTGTATGGAAAAACATTCGGACAAGAAAATTAATATGAATATAATGCTATGTTTAAGTAGTATGGGTAGTAACTTGGTGTTTGGTTCTCTGTATGCCACTTAAACAAGAGAAGTTAAACTACTGCCCCTTCACTTTGACAAGTATTGAGGATATATGTTGTAGGGGTGTTTGGGGCCGGGAAGAGCTTCCTGCTGTCTGTTATGGTACGGTTCCTGGTCAGGGTGTTTGAAGTCAATGGGAGCTACACCCCCGGGCTGCCTTACCCCTGGAAAATCCTCATCTCCTCCACAACAAATGTCGCTGTAGACAGGGTCCTCATGGGGTACGTGTCACCGAAAATCTGATGTGTATGGTACTGGTTATCTTTGGAGAGATTAAGACTGGATGATATTTCTAAAGAAAAATATATTACAATTGTGATTTTTGTTAATGCAAACTTATTGCAAATAAATTCTGTTATATACAGCTGACCCCAACTATGGTTAAGAATAGTGTGATGTTTAAAAAAATTAATAGTATAGTCCAGCATATTTCACCACATAGTCTAACATCCAATTCTTTTGGACAGTTCCATTAAATACTAAAAATTTAGTCTTTCAAAGTATAGGTTAAAGAGTTAATTAAAATTCATGCAATAATATGCCATAGAAAAGCTAACAAAATTTCAGTTCCAATGACTTAGTAGAATTATTGTACATATGGCTGTTACATAGATACATATTTTGATCTTTACAGATTACTTGATATTGGCTTTGAGGACTTTGTGAGAGTGGGAAGCATGAAGAAGATTGCTAAACCAGTGTTACCTTACAGGTAAGTTTGGGAAACAGTGTGATGTTCTAAAAAAAAAAAAAGGAAAAACTTTTATATGTTTGTCTCCTTCTATAAGAAGTATTACATATGGTTGTGTATTCTTTTTATGACATTTGACAGAAAGCATGTTTATTGTTTTTACAACATTTGGCAGAAAGCCTATTTTGCCTGCTAAATGCACATAAATAAGAACATTAAAAAAAATGCACTACCGGGTAATTTAAATTTACACTAACTTCGTCAGAAATAAAGTTCTGCCAATTGTTGTCCATAATATAATACAATTACAGTAAATAAAAAAAAAAATCAGTTGTGTGTAGACAAGCTTTACAGTCTTGTTTTGTAGAATTATAATTACATAATTATTAACTCTTGATAACATTATACATGTATTTTATGTTGTAGTGTACATGCCACTGGTACAGAGAGTCAGGAGCTGAAGGATCTCCAGGAAATGATGAGAAGTGGTGACCTCAGTCCATCAGAAAAACAGTAGGAGTACAATAATATAGTCAGAATCTCAGAAAAAAGTAGGAGGCAATTACTCTAGTTAAAATCTTAGAAAAGCCTACATTTGTCAGTGATTTCTATTGAAGTACATTGAACAATGAATAAAATGATATTAAAGACCCAAAAAAAATTATAGCTAGAACTTGAGAAACCTAATTTTTTTTGTATTGATATGAAGTACATAATACATGTTGTCATGTACATATATGCATGCACATACAAATTATTGTGTATTTTACATTCTATCTTTATTTGCAAAGAATTAGATCAAAACTCTTTATTAAAGGAAATACAGTTATTTAAAATAGTGTTTATTACAGTTATTAGAATTTAAAAGATTTGTTTATCTCTAAAACTTCTAAGTACATGTATAAATCACATTATAATTTAAATTTTTAGCAATGTACGGCAAAGCATAGAAAAACATAAGCTTGGTGAAAATAAGAAGGTTAGTCAAACAGCCAAAAAATGCAATTTTGATTTGTTTTATCAGATAGTTGTTCATATATGTATAACTCACTTTTGTAATGTTAAAAATATTTAATACCGTATAAGTAGAATTTTTAGCGAGGATTTAATTTTGGCATTATATGTGAGGGTGCTTACATCGCTAAAATTGAATATTGCTAAAAATTAATTGCGCATTATTTGTAATAGCTTCTTTAGTTAGCATTTTAAAATCGCTAAAATTACTTCTCGCTGAAAATAAAATACCAGATTTTCGGTAGAAATTGCTAAATTTGCCTCTCGCTAAAATTTCCACTTATACGGTAGTTACTTTTTATGTACAGTAATAAAATTGCTGATTTTTATACCCCCACAAACGAAGTTTGGGGGATATATAGGAATCACCTTGTCCGTCTGTCTAGCTGTCCGTCCGTCCCTCTAGCTAGCTGTCCGTCTGTCTGTGCAATCGTGTCCGGTCCATATCTTTCTTACAGAGGGACATTAGAATCCACTACTCCACACAAAGATTGCCCATGACCTAAGGGTGTGTCATGACCTTGACCCAAGGTCATTTGGGGAACTTCAAGGTCACTAGAAGAAAAATTTCATAATTCATGTCCGGTCCATATCTTTCTTATGGATAAACTTGGTAGGTTCTTATTTCACACAAAGATTGCCCATGACCCAAGGGTGTGTCATGACCTTGACCCAAGGTTATTTGTTGAAGTTCAAGGTCACTGGAAGAAAAATTTCATAATTCGTGTCTGGTCCATATCTTTCTTATGGATAAACTTGGTAGGTTCTCATTTCACACAAAGATTGCCCTTGATGCAAGGATGTGTCATGACCTTGATCCAAGGTCATTTGGGAAGTTCAAGGTCACTGGAAGAAAAATTTCATAATTCTTTTCCAGTCCATATCTTTCTTATGGATAAACTTGGTAGGTTCTCATTTCACACAAAGATTGCCCATAACCCAAGGTCATTTGGAGAAGTTCAAGGTCACTGGAAGAAAAATTTCCTAATTTGTGTCTGGTCCATATCTTTCTTATGGATAAACTTGGTAGGTTCTCATTTTACACAAAGATTGCCCATGTCCCAAGGGTGTGTCATGACCTTGATCCAAGGTCATTTTGGGAAGTTCAAGGTCACTGGAAGAAAAATTTCATAATTCCTGTTTGAAACATATCTTTATGGAAAAACTTACTTCTGAAAAACCCAGCGGGGGGTATTTTGTCCCGTTTGGACAGTTCTAGTTAGCTATACTGGTCAAAGACCAGAAGAGCTTATGCGATAGTAGGGTGTCCGTCGTCCGTCCATCTGTCTGACTGTCTGTAACAATTTTTCAAAACGCTACTCCTCCTACAGTTTTGGTCTGATTTCAATATAACTTGGCACACAAGTAGACTACACTAAGATACATAAAATAGTGCATCGATTTTTGATTTTGATGAACTGTGTTGCCATGGTTACTAAAAATAGAAATCTCTGTGAAATTCCTTTAAAATGCTACTCCTCCTACAGTTTTGATCTGATTTCAATATATCTTGGCACACAAGTAGACTACACTAAGATACATAAAATTTTTTTTGATTTTTAGCTCACCTCAACGAAGTTGGGGGGAGCTTATGTGATACCCTCGGCGTCGGCGTCGGCGTCGGTGTCGGCGTCGGCGTCCCAGGTTAAGGTTAAGTTTTTTGGAGCAGTTTTCTTTTTAATTACTTCTGTGTCCTATACTGATTAGACATGCATGGAAAATGGTTTTAGTGTGTTTTATTGTACCAGACAAAGTTTCAGATGCTGCAATTTCAGCAAAGGAATTACCAGGTTAATGTTTTTGGAGCAGGTTAACATTTTTGGTGCAGTTTTTGGTGTGGGTTTCATTTCCAAGTAACTATAAGCCCTATGTTGACCAAACTTGCATGGATGATACATCTAAGGATGCATACTACCGGGATTGCTTCGGATGCTGAATCTGACCTACATTTTCCGGTTGAGTGAACAGGTTAAAGTTTTTGGTGCAGGTTTCATTTCCAAGTAACTATAAGCCCTATGTTGACCAAACTTGCATGGATGATACATCTAAGGATGCATACTACCGGGCTTGCTTCGGATGCTGAATCTGACCTACATTTTCCGGTTGAGTGAACAGGTTAAAGTTTTTGGTGTAGGTTTCATTTCCAAGTAACTATAAGCCCTATGTTGACCAAACTTGCACACAGGATGCATACTACTGGGCTTGCTTCGGATGCTGAATCTGACCTACATTTTCCGGTTGAGTGAACAGGTTAAAGTTTTTGGTGCAGGTTTCATTTCCAAGTAACTATCAGGCCTATGTTGACCAAACTTGCATTGATGATACATCTAAGGATGCATACTACCGGGATTGCTTCGGATGCTGAATCTGACCTACATTTTCCGGTTGAGTGAACAGGTTAAAGTTTTTGGTGCAGGTTTCATTTCCAAGTAACTATAAGCCCTATGTTGACCAAACTTGCATGGATGATACATCTAAGGACACTACCGGGCTTGCTTCGGATGCTGAATCTGACCTACATTTTCCGGTTAAAGTTTTTGGTGCAGGTTTCATTTCCAAGTAACTATAAGCCCTATGTTGACCAAACTTGCATGGATGATACATCTAAGGATGCATACTACCGGGCTTGCTTCGGATGCTGAATCTGACCTACATTTTCCGGTTGAGTGAACAGGTTAAAGTTTTTGGTGTAGGTTTCATTTCCAAGTAACTATAAGCCCTATGTTGACCAACCTTGCATGGATGATACATCTAAGGATGCATACTACCGGGCTTGCTTCGGATGCTGAATCTGACCTACATTTTCCGGTTGAGTGAACAGGTTAAAGTTTTTGGTGCAGGTTTCATTTCCAAGTAACTATAAGCCCTATGTTGACCAAACTTGCATGGATGATACATCTAAGGATGCATACTACCGGGCTTGCTTCGGATGCTGAATCTGACCTACATTTTCCAGTTGAGTGAACAGGTTAAAGTTTTTGGTGCAGGTTTCATTTCCAAGTAACTATAAGCCCTATGTTGACCAAACTTGCATGGATGATACATCTAAGGATGCATACTACCGGGCTTGCTTCGGATGCTGAATCTGACCTACATTTTCCAGTTGAGTGAACAGGTTAAAGTTTTTGGTGCAGGTTTCATTTCCAAGTAACTATAAGCCCTATGTTGACCAAACTTGCATGGATGATACATCTAAGGATGCATACTACCGGGCTTGCTTCGGATGCTGAATCTGACCTACATTTTCCAGTTGAGTGAACAGGTTAAAGTTTTTGGTGCAGGTTTCATTTCCAAGTAACTATAAGCCCTATGTTGACCAAACTTGCATGGATGATACATCTAAGGATGCATACTACCGGGCTTGCTTCGGATGCTGAATCTGACCTACATTTTCCGGTTGAGTGAACAGGTTAAAGTTTTTGGTGCAGGTTTCATTTCCAAGTAACTATAAGCCCTATGTTGACCAAACTTGCATGGATGATACGTCTAAGGATGCACACTACCAGGCTTGCTTCGGATGCTGAATCTGACCTACATTTTCCGGTTGAGTGAATAGTTAAAAGTTTTTGGTGCAGGTTTCATTTCCAAGGAACTATGAGTTCTTTAATGACCAGTCTTGCATAGATGATACATCTAAGGATGCATACTTCCAGGCTTGCTTCGGAAGCTGAATCTGACCTACTTTTTGTGGATGAGTGAAAATGTTAGTTTTAATGCATGTTTCATTTCCAATAAACTATGAGCCCTATAATGAGCAAACTTGCATGGATGATACATCTAAAGATGCACACTAATGGACTTGATTCGGATGCTGAATTGGACAAACATTTTTCAGATAATAGACAAGGTAAAAGTTATGGTTGCAGGTCTATTACCAAAAACTATAAGGCTTATATAACATTGTATAAACATAACTTTCACAAATGCTGCATCAAGAGATGAAAACTCTCAAATTTGCTTCAGATGCTGGATTTTCATTACATTTTCATGAAGAAGAAGTAGTTTAAATTTTTTATGTAGGTCTATTTCAAAGTATCAGATCAAAATTGCTTTTAAAAATATTTTCATTTTTGGAATGTATACTTTTTGTTGGTTAATTTTGTGACTTTGCCTTACTTAAAGACAACATTCGTTGAGGTGAGCTCTGTAATCTCTGATTACCTATGTTTGATTTTGATGAACGGTGTTGCCATGGTTACTAAAAATAGAAATCTCTGTGAAATTCCTGTAAAACGCTACTCCTCCTACAGTTTTGATCTGATTTCAATATAACTTGGCACACAAGTAGACTACACTAAGATACATAAAATAGTGCATCGATTTTTGATTTTGATGAACGTTGTTGCCATGGTTACTAAAAATAGAATTCTCTGTGAAATTCCTTTAAAACGCTATTCCTCCTACAGTTTTGATCTAATTTCAATATAACTTGGCACACAAGTAGACTACACTAAGATACATAAAATAGTGCATCGATTTTTTATTTTGATGAACGGTGTTGCCATGGTTACTAAAAATAGAAATCTCTGTGAAATTCCTTTAAAATGCTACTCCTCCTACAGTTTTGATCTGATTTCAATATATCTTGGCACACAAGTAGACTACACTAAGATACATAAATTTTTTTTTGATTTTTGATTTTGATGAACGGTGTTGCCATGGTTACTAAAAATAGAATTCTCTGTGAAATTCCTGTAAAACGCTACTCCTCCTACAGTTTTAATCTGATTTCAATATAACGTGGCACACAAGTAGACTACACTAAGATACATAAAATATTGCATCGATTTTTGATTTTGATGAACGTTGTTGCCATGGTTACTAAAAGTAGAATTCTCTGTGAAATTCCTTTAAAATGCTACTCCTCCTACAGTTTTGATCCGATTTCAATATAACTTGGCACACAAGTAGACTACAGTAAGATAAATAATTCTATGCATGGATTTTTTGATTTGGATGAATGGTGTTGCCATGGTTACTAAAAATAGAATTCTCTGTGAAATTCCTGTAAAATGCTACTCCTCCTACAGTTTTGATCTGATTTCAATATAACTTGGCACACAAGTAGACTACACTAAGATACATAAAATAGTGCATCGATTTTTGATTTCGATGAACGTTGTTGCCATGGTTACTAAAAATAGAATTCTCTGTGAAATTCCTTTAAAATGCTACTCCTTCTACAGTTTTGGTCAGATGGCAATGGCTTTTTTTCCTCATCCTTTGTTACAAGTACAAACCAGTAGAGCTACAGTCTCGACAGAGACTTCTGGTTTAAAAAAGTCTGGTGTGTGTAATTTACGTCTTTTTTTCCTATAATTCAGAGGCTTGGTAATGTTGCAGTGGTTGGAGTCACTTGTGCTTCATGTGTTGCTCCCAGTCTCAAAGACCTAAAGTTTCCAGTAAGTAAATTTCATTGATCATTAATTCATTTCTCTTTATTACATTAGCCAATGCAGATTACAGTTAATTAATTCTTCTTTAGTAAATTCATGATAAATGCCATGCATTGTTGACAGGTGGTTATATTAGATGAGTGCAGTCAGATGACAGAACCTGCTTCTCTGTTCCCGATGTCTAAGTTTGCTTGTGAAAAACTGGTACTTGTAGGAGATCCTAAGGTATTTCTTCATGTCTGTGTTTCTTAAAACTTCATAACCAAATTATTGAATTAGAAAGTTTATTGACTATGGTATATGTTTCTCATTGGATGATTTGCAAGCAGATGCAGTATGTCATACACATACATGATTTTTTGCATAATATTTATGCCCCCCTTTGAAGAAAGGAGGGAATATTGCTTTGCTGCTGTCTGTCGGTCCACTTAGTTTCCGTTCACTTTCTTCACAACAGTTGCACATACTGATATGAAATTTGGTAAGCAGATATATCAGATAAATATCTAGGTCAAGAACTGTTTTGGGTACGATCGCACCTTTTTTGACAGAGTTATGCCCTTTTGGACTTAGAAAAATTTCATTTATTTGCAGTTTCTGTTCATTTTCTTTGCAGAGGTTGCACATACTGAATTGCAATTTAGTATACAGATTTATCAGATAAATATCTAGGTCAAGTTCTGTTTTACATACGATCTCGCCATTTTTGACAGAGTTATGCCCTTTTGGACTTTGAAAAATTTCAATTTTGGGGGGAAGGGAGGGGGGCATAAGTGTTTTACAAACGTCTCTTGTTTAATTTGTAGCAATTAGATCCCACAATTCAGGGTTCAGAGGCCAACCACTCAGAAGGCCTGGAGCAGACCATGTTTGATCGACTCATCAAAATGGTATCATCGTCTCTTTAGAACTTTAGAACCAGTTTCTGATTACTGTTATTCAGACAGGTCTTGTCACTGATTGTCAGTAAGTTATAATGGATTTTTACCATGTTTATTTCTGCTTCAGGGCCACATTCCCACTCTGCTGAGAACACAATACAGATGTCACCCAGTCATCAGTGACCTTGCCAACACTCTGTTTTATCAAGGTCAGCTGCTGGACGGTGTCAAGGCCACAGACAGGGCACCTGTTTTGGTAAATTTAGACTCTCTATAATAGCTCTCCATGATAGCACTTACAATGAATATTTTGTCTTAATATAATACATGTGAGATTCTGATAATTAACTTTGAGAATTTCTCTTTTAAGGATATTTTACCCACACTCTGTTTTTACAATGTGTGTAATGGACAAGAAGATAATGACTCCAGTGGAAGTTTTTCAAATGAAAAGGAGGCAGATTTTATTGCATTTATGATAGAGGCTTTAGTCAATGCTGGGGTGGATTCAACTTCTATAGGGGTGATTACACTCTATAAATCCCAGATGTACAGCATCATAGCCAAGCTGGGCACCAGCAGGTAGGCTTAATTTAGACAATAAGTACATTCTACTGTAAACCATTCTATAAGCCACTTTTAAAAATTTCATATTTCTATCTAAAGTATAAAAAAGAATTTGGAGGAAGGATTATCCAAGATGTTTTCAAGCATTGTCTGGCAAACAGAATCAGCTATCAAATTCGGAGATTTGCTTTAACTTTTTTTTTTTTACTTTCAAATAGAAACTGCAGTCAGAATGAAACAAAGTCCATCCTTGTTTCAACTGTAGATGCTTTCCAGGGTGGTGAGAGGAATATCATTTTCCTGTCTTGTGTACGCACCAACAACACTGGGTTTATAGACAATCACAAGTAAGGAAACTACCACAAAGACTTTATAGACAACCACATGTTCAAACACATAGACTTAATTGACAACCAAAAGTGTACAACCACAAAGACTTTATAGACAACCATGTGTTAAAACACTAAGACTTTATAGACAACCATATGTTAAAACACTAAGACTTTATAGACAACCATATGTTAAAACACTAAGACTTTATAGACAACCATATGTTAAAACACTAAGACTTTATAGACAACCAAGTATTCAAACACAGACTTTATAGACAACCATATGTTAAAACACTAAGACTTTATAGACAACCAAGTATTCAAACACAGACTTTATAGATAAACACAAGAGTACAACCACTGCATTTACATGTACTTGGTAGAATTTTGAGTCTCTGACAGCTATTAAAAATGTACAACAGCACAAATTTATTCTGTTATATAACTTGACTCATTATATGCCTAATCTTTGATATTTTATTCATCTTAACACAATTTATTTCTCATTTACAGGAGAACTAATGTTGCTTTGACAAGAGCCAGGCATCATCTTTTTATTGTGGGACATTTAAACAATCTGGAGAAAAACCAACTCTGGGGGAAAGTTATCTCCATGTGTAGAGGTAAGGAACAATTACTGTGTAAAAGACTCGGACTCTATCATATAAGCATTGCAGTGGTTAACTGGTTCTGGGTTATTCCTTCTGAATGATGGAAATTGGTTTTTTAAATTTGCAATCAATTCAGAATTTCTTTTAAATTTTCAAATACAGTACCCTTCAATAAAGTGATAAAAAAAAGTCTTAAAATTCTAAAAAAAAAAAATTTAATCAATTCAGAATTTTTTTTAATTTTTAAGTACAGTTTCCTTCAATAAAGTGATAAAAAAAAGTCTTAAAATTCTAAAAAAAATTTTTTTTTTTACCTTGTCTAATTATTATAAAACTAAAGCTAATTATAGCTTTTAAGGATGGGGCTTTTTTTTTTTGGTAATCTGTACTGTTACAAACTATTGCAGCTCGTAAAGATGGGATGCAGGATTCTGAGGAGGCTCGTCACAGTTTGAGTTCTCTGTTAAACAGCTTGTCTCAGGGGTCCTCCTCCAGCCTACCTACCAGACAACCAAAGAGAAGCAGCAGGAAAAGGAAACAGCAGGAGGAAGAAGAAGAAAGTCCCCCAATGTCACTAACAGGACAAACAGGTAGGGGGAATCACCTGGCAGTGGACTTCTCGTACTGGGGAAAAATTCTGGAGCTATAGCTGCTTACTGAATTATATTAAAGGGAGCTAAATGTGTATTATGTGATTTAAAAATGAAATTATGACATTATATTATGTCATTTGATGAGAAATTTTTGTAATTAAAAAATGATTTCTATTGAATGAGCAACAATTTATCATGGATCAGACAATTTACATCAAGCTTTGGATATTTGACCTTTATTGTGTTGGTCTTTAAAAAAAAATGAACATTGCAGGATGCATGGTGAATTCTTGTCCAATGCATGTTGAAATAAATTTAACTACACACAAGGCTTTTAAAATGAATTCGATTTCTGAAATAAAATTTCTTAAAGTTTTCCATAAAGTTATCCTTTATTTACAACACTCAACCAATACAGATTTATTCTCTTAAAGTAAGGAAAACAACTCTTAAAATTTGTAATTTCAAAAAATTGTTGTTTAAATTACTTCCCTTTGAGATGTCAAATATTACATCACTTCAAGATCTTTACTGTGGTATTTATATCACAATGTACTTTGAAAGATATTGAATCATAAAAAAAGTTTCAAATTTCTGCTTTAAGACAGAAAGAATCAATCAGGTTAGATCTAGATGCAAGATTATTTCTTAAATTTGTCCAAAGCAAGGTACATGTCCAATGCATTGTAAACTCCCTACAAAGAAATGAGTTAAGTCTTTGACACAACTGCCATTGCTAAAATTTGTCAGATTTAAGGAGGGTCATAACACACCTGGTAAGATAATGACTGGAAAGCATTAAATCAATATTGCAAAGTTTGGTATATCACTATTTGAAACTTAAAGATTAAGGACAAAAATCATCCTAATTTACAGTTTATTGTGAAACCTGCAACTACAGAGACTCTGAAAAACATGGCTACCGAATTCTTCTTGAATTTCTTCACTGTAAATACACTTGCTTTCTTTGAAATCTTTTTTATAATCTAAAAAAGAATTTTCAAAGGACTTGTGAAATTTATTCCAGATGAGTCTGTGGTCAGTGAGAGTCCTGTTGTAGTCAGTTCCTGTGAAACAACAGACGAAGTGTCAAGAAACAAGTGTAAGCGGCGGAGAGAACTGCCCCGCATTGATCCGTCACTTCTGGACAGCGACAAGGAAAACGAGGAGGAGGAGGAACTTCCCGTGTTTGACCTCTGACCTTTCTCTCCTGATGATTTTGAACTTAACAATATCATTTAAACTAGGATATCAATTTATGAGAAACGGTTATTAGAAATGGTTAAATAAGCTACTTCTTGAAAGGAATTTCATTTGCTTCCCTCTTTCAAAGCAGTACTGTATACAGGGTTATTTTTGCCCAGTGTTATTTTCGCCTTTTCACACTTGAAAACAATTTTGTCCCGTTTTAAATTCGCCCACTTACAGTTTTGTTTAAGAAATAATACTGTCATCTTTCAATTCGCCCCGTTTTAAATTCGCCCAAAAGAGGATAGGGCAAATGGGGCGAAAATAAAACGGGGGTGAAAATTTCCCTGTATATAGTATTTGTTAGTGTTGTTAAATCACAAAAGAAAAATTCTAAAGTGATTATGATAGAACTGTCACTTCAGACTATAAGAAAAGGAGGATCTTTTATATAGAACATAGTTGGTAACCCATAGTAGTTCTTGCTTCTAGAAGCAAGACGGACCGTGGGTTTCCAACGATGATAGAACATTTAAAGAAATGTTATGTGATATATTTTGTGATAGAATTTTTAATTGTTGAGCAATGTTACAGTTTTAATTTGCAACATAATAAATAAAGGTTTTCCTGAACCAAATCATTTTACTGCAATTTTAAGTTTGTAAATGCTTCAATTTTTAGCTAACCTGAGCCGAAGGCTCAAGTGAGCTTTTCTGATCAAAATTTGTCTGTTGTCTGTCGTTGGCGTTGTCGTCGTCGTTAACTTTTCACATTTTCGACTTTTTCTCAAGAACCACTAGGCCAATTTCAACCAAACTTGGCACAAAGTATCCTTAGGTGAAGGGGATTCAAGTTTGTTCAAATGAAGGGCCACACCCTAATCAAGGGGAAATAATTAAGAAATAGTTAAATTTGGTGGTATGTTTTAAAAATCTTCTTCTCAAGAAGCACTGTGGCAGGAAAAATGAAACTTATATGGAAGCATCCTCGGGTAGTGTAAATTTAAATTTGTTCAAATCATAACCCCCGGGGTAAGAGCGAGGCCACAATGGCCAATCAAAGTTTAACATAGAAATATATAGGAAAATTCTTTAAAAATCTTCTCCTCAGGTACCAGTGCATACATGCCAACTTTTGAAAATTCCCATGGGGGATTTAGCGCGTGACGACAATTTTCAAAGCTTAAGATTCGCGACATTTTGTCGTGAAATTAAATGATTATGAAATGATCTTTTTTTTAAATTTATAATATTGATATTACTTATCAATACAACTTAAGAATTAATTTAACACAAAAAATAATGTTTTTCTTTCAAAATTGAAATATTTCTGCTAAAATAGGTGCCTCTTTCACTTAAGAAGGGGTATTTAGTTACATATGTAAACAACATTTTTTTTCTACCAGAACACATAATTTAGTGAAAAATTGAAAATTTTACAACTTTTAAATTGTTTTTTCAAAGGCTAAAAAATATGAGGTTTTGATACTGTAAAGTCCTGTTTCTGGAAACATTTTTGAGATTTTTTATATATATTAGAAATTCTAATTAGATATTAAATTTACAGAAATTTATGCCACATATCTAAAAGAAAATTATTTTTTTTTTACAGTCATGAAATTTGTCAGGCTTGATGGTGCCTTGTGGGTATTTCCTTAAGTCATGCACATTACTTTTGGGAGAAGGGAGGGAAAAGAAATTCTAATTGAAATACACTTGATTGTTTCATCTTAATTTTTTCATAATATTTTAATTTGCAACTTAGAAATATTTTTTATTATAGGTAGATAAAATCATCAGCTATGCTTTGTAGTTTTCTACTTTCGTTTTCAAAAAACGATCTCTTTGGATTCCGATTTTATGGTTTAATTAGTATTTTTATGCCCCCCTTCGAAGAAGGGAGGGCATATTGCTTTGCTGCTGTCTGTCGGTCGGTCGGTCGGTCTGTCGGTCCATTTAGTTTCCGTTCATTTTCTTCATAACCGTTGCACATACTGAAATGAAATTTGGTATACAGGTATAACACATGAATATCTAGGTCTAGTTCTGTTTTGGGTATGATCGCACCATAATTGACAGAGTTATGCCCCTTGAACTTAGAAAAATTCCAATTATTTGCAGTTTCCGCTCATTTTCTTTGGAGAGGTTGCACATATTGAAATGGAATTTAGTATACAGATTAGTCAGATGAATATCTAGGTCAAGTTCTGTTTTGGGTATGATCGCACCATAATTGACAGAGTTATGCCCCTTGGACTTAGAAAAATTCCAATTATTTGCAGTTTCCGTTCATTTTCTTTGGAGAGGTTGCACATATTGAAATGGAATTTAGTATACAGATTAGTCAGATGAATATCTAGGTCAAGTTCTGTTTTGGGTACGATCGCACCATAATTGACAGAGTTATGCCCCTTGGACTTAGAAAAATTCCAATTATTTGCAGTTTCCGCTCATTTTCTTTGGAGAGGTTGCACATATTGAAATGGAATTTAGTATACAGATTAGTCAGATGTATATCTAAGTCAAGTTCTGTTTTGGGTATGATTGCACCATAATTGACAGAGTTATGCCCCTTGGACTTAGAAAAATTCCATATTTTTGCAGTTTCCGTTCATTTTCTTTGGAGAGGTTGCATATATTGAAATGGAATTTAGTATACAGATTAGTCAGATGAATATCTTGGTCAAGGTATGTTTTGGGTATGATCACACCATTTTTGACAGAGTTATGCCCTTCTGGACTTAGAAAAATTCCAATTTGTGGGGGAGGGGGGCATAAGTGTTTTACAAACATCTCTTGTATTGTCTTTAATTTATGTTTTTAATAAAATGACTAACACTAACAGTTATCACGTTAATCTATGTGTTTCACCTTGCATACCCCTTAAAACTGACAAGATAATCCCTAATTGCCCCAAGCTATAAGCTACTCGTACCTGGACAACTGCGTGCGTTCATGCGTGAAGTGATTTCCTGTGACTAATTAGTAATGAACACCTGGTTAAATAAACAGTGAAACTTATCTGTGTGCATTGAATATACAAGTCTGACATTGTTATCCCGATTGTCAAAATTCAGCGGTAGGGAAACTTTTAAAATCTGAAATTTTAAGGTGATTTTTTTATCAAATCGGGAAATTAGGGCAATTTTTCTCTCCCGATCGGGAAGGCGGGATGAAAGGGTAAAATCGGGAGGATCCCGCCTAAATCAGGAAAGTTGGCATGTATGCCAGTGCAAGGAAAGATAAAACTTTTAGGGAAGCATCCTCAGGTAGTGTAGATTGAAGTTTGTTCAAATCATGACCTCCAGGGGCAGGGCGGGGCCAAAATGGCCAATCAAAGATTTACATAGGAATATATAGGAAAATTATTTTCTCCAGAACCACTGGGCCAGGAAAGATGAAACTCAAGTGGAAGCATCCTCAGGTAGTGTAGGTTCAAGTTTGTTCAAATCATGACCCCCGGGTTTAGGGCAGGGCCATAATGGCTGATCAAAGATTAACACAGAAATATACAGACCTGCCTACCCTTCCGCTTTTGGCGTAATTCTTCCGCTTTTTACCACAAAATTACGCTATTACGCCACTTATATTAATTTTACGCTTTTGATATTTTGGTTGAAATTTCATTATGAACGTCTAAATTCAGAGTTAAAGTACGACATGCTGACATGTTGAAATTAACTATTAAACGATACTGCAAAACATACAACCATTTCTATGCTCAGTTAAGTCTATTTTAACATTTCTTGGAACAAGATAGAGAAATATGAGTGTTAAAAAAGATAACAAGAGGCCCATGGGCCACATCGCTCACTTGAACACCAAGGGTAGGACTAGTATAAAATGGCTTTTTATTGTAAAGTTTAAATCCAAAAGTAGTCCCATGACCAATCATGGATTTGCTATTTTTTAGAAAATGATTGAGAAGAAGATTTTTAAAGAATTTTCCTATATATTTCTATGTAAAACTTTGGTCAGCCATTTTGGCCCCGCCCTACCCCCGGGGGTCATGATTTGAACAAAACTGAATCTACACTACCTGAACATGCTTCCATATAAATATGATGAATGATGGCTTTGTCATTCTTGAGAAGAAGATTTTTAAAGAATTTTCCTATATATCTCTATGTAAAACCTTGGTCGGCCATTTTGGCCCCGCCCTACCCCCGGGGGTCATGATTTGAACAAACTTGAATCTACACTACCTGAGCATGCTTCCATATATATATGATGAATTATGGCTATGTCATTCTTGAGAAGAAGATTTTTAAAGAATTTTCCTATATATTTCTATGTAAAACATTGGTCGGCCATTTTGGCCCAGCCCTACCCCCCGGGGTCATGATTTGAACAAACTTGAATCTACACTACCTGAGCATGCTTCCATATAAATATGATGAATTATGGCTTTGTCATTCTTGAGAAGAAGATTTTTAAAGAATTTTCCTATGTATTCCTATGTGAAACTTTGGTCGGCCATTTTGGCCCCGCCCTACCCCCGGGGGTCATGATTTGAACAAACTTGAATCTACACTACCTGAGCATGTTTCCATATAAATATGATGAATTATGGCTTTGTCATTCTTGAGAAGAAGATTTTAAAATAATTTTCCTATGTATTTCTATGTAAAACTTTGGTCGTCCATTTTGGCCCCGCCCTACCCCCGGGGGTCATGATTTGAACAAGCTTGAATCTACACTACCTGAGCATGTTTCCATATAAATATGATGAATTATGGCTTTGACATTCTTGAGAAGAAGATTTTTAAAGAATTTTCCTATGTATTTCTATGTAAAACTTTGGTCGTCCATTTTGGCCCCGCCCTACCCCCGGGGGTCATGATTTGAACAAACTTGAATCTACACTACCTGAGCATGTTTCCATATAAATATGATGAATTATGGCTTTGTCATTCTTGAGAAGAAGATTTTTAAAGAATTTTCCTATATATTTCTATGTAAAACTTTGGTCGGCCATTTTGGCCCCGCTCTACCCCCGGGGGTCATGATTTGAACAAACTTGAATTTACACTACCTGAACATGCTTCCATATATATATGATGAATTATGGCTATGTCATTCTTGAGAAGAAGATTTTTAAAGAATTTTCCTATATATTTCTATGTAAAACTTTGGTCGGCCATTTTGGCCCCGCCCTACCCCCGGGGGTCATGATTTGAACAAACTTGAATCTACACTACCTGAGGATGTTTCCCCATAAGTTTCATCTTTCCTGGCACAGTGGTTCTTGAGAAGAAGATTTTTAAAATATACCACTAAATTTTCATTAATTCCCAATTATCTCCCCTTGAATAAGGGCGTGGCCCTTCATTTGAAACTTGAATCCCCTTCACCCAAGGATACTTTGTGGCAAGTTTGGTTGAAATTGGCCCAGCGGTTCTTGAGAAGAAGTCGAAAATGTGAAAAGTTTACAGACAGACAGACGGACGCCGGACAAAATGTGATCAGACAAGCTCACTTGAGCCTTCGGCTCAGGTGAGCTAAAAAAAATGTTAAAATGTACGGTTTGTTATAACATTTAAACGTAAGCCTTCGATTAAGTGATTTGATACAAATTGACCAAAGGCTTCTTAAAGGGTGTATGGTTGAATTGAGCTTGATATAGGATATTTGTATTTTACAACACTTTTTTTGCTAACAGATGATTCGAAAAATTATGATAAGTTTATGCCAGCTTTGTTTAGTATTGTACAATTTCGATTGTTTTGAAAGAAAATAAAGTATAGTAAAACCAAAAAATAGGTAAACATGATTGATAACGCTTTTACCTCTGAAATTCCACCAAAAATGTACCGAAATTACACCCTTGCAATGAAAAGGGTAGGCAAGTCTGAATATATAGGAAAAATCTTTAAAAATCTTTTTCTTCAAATCCATTGGACCAGCAAAGATGAAACTCATGTGGAAGCATCCTAAGGTAGTGTAGATTCAAGTTTATTCAAATCGAGTCCAAATGTGTTTCCAAAATGATATACTGCAGAATAACATTTTTGCAACCTTATTTTTGTGAAATACTGTAGGTACATGTACTTGATACAAAAAAGTTCAGCTTTAATTCCTATTACTACTAATACAACAAATTCCATAAAGTAAACATTTTTTATTCAAAATAAAAACATCAAATGATAAATTTTCACAAAATATTACATCAATTGCTTGTAATTTTCTCATTTCTTAAATGCATAACAATTGTCATAGACAGATAAAAAAAGTACAACAATTCAACAATAATTATGTTCACTGTTGAGACCTGGGGCTATGATACCCTCTTGTGCATAATACAATGATGTCAACATTATGTTTTTAACAAATAATGAAATAAATTTCTCAACCTAATAGGAAGCAAAATCAATATTCAATTATGAATAGCATGATACAGATTCAGAAAGTAGAAATAATCTTCCTTGCATTAAATCATTACCTATGTTTAAGATAGATGCACTGATATTCATTACAAGGTTTGCATTTCTCGTTGTTAACCGCAGAGTTAGGCACACAAACTTTTGTGGCATATCAATAGTGCTAGTTGGTACTCTAAGACTGATCAGTACAGAAGTTGTGTTCACAACTTTATTTACCAAACAAAGGTACTGCCAGCTTTTAATGAGGTCACTTCCTTCTTGTGTACACCTTGGGTATGCAATACATGTACCCCAAAATACAAAAGTTGATACTAGCTTTCACATGTTATTTGAAAAATGTATAAACTATAACTAGAGGTACTGTGAGCAATGAGCTCACTAGATGATAATCATGATACCCCCCACCCCCCATATTAATGTAATGGCAGTGTCTGTGTTTTGCTATGGGATGCCCAAATTATGTGCCGGATCAAAATGTAAAAAAATAGGAGGTGCACAATGGCAATATTTAATAACGATTCTGTGAAAGTCTCATCAAATTTTATTATGTGGTATGAGAAGAGTTTCAGATAAGAGATTGGTACCCCAAAGCGTAACGGATGGATGGACAGACAGACATCCCGTTTACTATATACTCTTCCGCTTTTCAAGCGGGGGATTTAATAACAAACAATTTTATATCTGGATGTTGAGACATGGTCTTCTGTGCCGCAGCCCTGCCAATCCTCTGGGAGGTTGTGGTGGTCGCACGTCAATTTTCACTCCTCTATTTCGCAGCTTATATAGACTGTTCTCAGTAATATCTCTACATTCACGCGCCTCTAAAGCTTTCAGATTTTTTGCATATTCTGCTAGAATCCTACAAAATATGAAAATACAACAAAAAAAATCGAAAGTTTACAACATAAGCATCTTTTCCATTGTAATTGATACAGCTGTACTTACCCAATAGAATCGTCTGAGAGTCTCCAGCATCCCCGAATATTAAGGTGACGTAATGAAATGGCCTCCCGGGCCAGAATTGCCATTGCATAATCTGTGAGTCCATAGATTTTGGCCATTGATAAATACTGCAACCTTTAAGTTATATAAATAAAAAATTACAATGTACAGTACTGGTACTTAAAACATAATTTTCATAAGAAAAGTGTATGGTGTGTAACTTTGCAAGAGAGAAACTTTCAATGAAAGAATATAAATGAATGAAGCAGAGGATACAGTATATCATTTTTAAAGTTCACTCACAGTAGTGAGTACCTCTTAGATACTCTACTATTCAATGAATTTATTGAGTCTTATTGAATGGATATGGATGTTCTTGGTCTTACTTTTTACAACGTACAGCAAGTAGTGTAATTGCTTCGTCATTGACTCCCCAACATCCCGTGAGATCGAGGCTTTCTAAGTTGACACACTGCATAGCTAACACGGTCAACCCATCCACACTGACCCAGTGACACTCACTAAGGGAGACCACTCTCACATTCTGACAGTTCACTCCTAACACTTGGAGAGAACTGTTAGTTACAAAGGAGCAGTTGGAAATATCCAGTCGTTGAAGCTTGGGATTTTGTTTTAAAACTGGCATTAATACAGGATCAGTGAGCCAATCTTTAGAGTTGCGCAATACAAGATCTTGAAGACTTGAGTTATTTCTTGTCATAATGGACAGAGCTCCTACTGTCATTTTGTTAGCTATACGACAAGTATTCACTGTCTTGTTGACGCTAAAATACAGGGTGACCATCTCCAGCCACTGCTTGGAAACTCTCCTCATCTGAAACTTTGTTTGGAGAGGGAGGCAGGGCATGATGTACTTGAAGACCACATCTTCCCATGGTATATCAAGGAAAGTCAACTCATTATCATTGTGTTCCATACTAGAAGAAGAGTAAAAATCATTATTGATATATGTCCAAATCAAAACGTGTAACGTCTTGCAATGCATGATTACAACTTTTATGTTACTTACAAAACTTCAGTGTCAAAACTCTTTGTCTCAACATTTGTCGTTTCTGCCATTCTCTGCTTTGTAGTAGCATAGAGGTTTTCTCAAGCACATCAATGATTGCTAAGATATATCATCATTGTATTTCATGTTGTTAACGTTTTGATATCGTCCAGTATCTGAAATATACACACATTGACATGTATACACAATGATTTTGCATTTTCACTTGTCATTTATAACCACGAGTTACACAATGTGACAAATCAAGTTTTTTTCCCAGGGTATTTTATCTTTCTTTTTTTATTGATTTTAAATATTTACCTTGAAAAATTTGTTCCCAGTGGATGAAAAACGGGCTTCCTTGCCTTTACATCACAACAATTTTCAACACCAGATTAAAAACATTTTCGGCCTTCAGACACAGCTGAGTTTTGAATTTCGATCCCGATGTGAATTGGTGTCGAGCACGAGAGAGAGCAAAGAAAAAGGATATTATTATACATCCTGATTCAACCAAGTCGTGGCCATTTATTCAAGGAATTAAATAGATACGATTCTCGTCTACATTAGACAAAATTCTCTCTATGGTTCCCCTATATCCCATCTCTCTGTTTCCTTTGAATCACAAGTTGTTAAAAAAATATTACCGAAACAAGTGCATGTGCAGCGGGACTCAAAAACTTATGACCTCTTATTTAGCTCACCTAAGCCGAAGGCTCAAGTGAGCTCTTCTGATCAAAATTTGTCCGCTGTCTGTCGTCGTCGTGAACTATTTACATTTTCATCTCAAGAACCACTGGGCCAATTTCAGCCAAACTTGCCATAAAGTATCCTTGTGTAAAGGGAAATCCGAATTCAAGTTTGTTCAAATGAAGGGTTTCGATCGCCCTCTTCCAAGGGGAGATAATTATAAATATGTGATAAATCAATGGTATCTTTTAAAAATTTAAATAACTTCTCAAGAACCACTGGGCCAGAAAAGATGAAACTCGTGTAGAAGCATCCTCGTGTAGTGAAAATTCAAGTTTGCTCAAATTATGATCCTGGCTGTAAGGTGGGGCCACGTACAATGGGGATATCAAAGTTCAATGTAGGAATACATAGAAAAAAATCTTTAAACACGAGTTCGCACAACACGCTGTCACGCGAACACGAGTTCGCACAACGAGCCGTCGCGCTAACACACAACTCGCGACGGCGTGTTGCCTCAAAGTGAGTTAGCGCGGCGGTATGTTGTGTGTTAACTCGTCAGCGTGTTGTGCAAAATAGTGTTAGCGTGACAGCGTGTTTTGTGTTAACGCGTCAGCGTGTTGTGCGAACTCGTGACAGCGTGTTGTCTGTTAGCGAGTCAACGTGTTGCGTGAACTCGTGTTAGCGTGACAGCACGTTGTGTGTTAGCGCGTCAGCGTGTTGCGTGAACTCATGTTAGCCTGACAGCCTGTTGTGTGTAAGTGCGGCAGCGTGTTCTCTTGAGCGCGCTGTTGAGCTTTAGCAAATGGCCCTATCCGGACACCATACCATAGCCATAACTTTTGAATATTTGGGCCTTTCATACTTCACATGTGTATTCACAATGACAAGACCTTTCATTTTAAAAATATTTGACCTTGACCAAAGAGTTTGATCCACGTTTAAAAAACTTTAACCTTGATCATAACTTTTGAACCGTTAGTACAAGGACTTTCATAATATCCACAGGTTTATGTATATGACAAATGCATGCACACAAGACGTTCCTTTGGATATAAACATGTTTGAACTTTTGACCTTAAAGTTTGACCCACTTAAAAAACTTTAACTTGACAACAACCTTTGAACATTTAGTACTAGTTCTTTCATGTTTCACAGTTGTATTCCTTGTGAGAAGACCGTTCATCGGGTAATTTTGACAATTTTCAAACAAAACTTAGAGGCCCACATCGTTCACCAAAGTATCTTTGGCCATGCTGTTCTTTAACAGATCCCCCCTTCTAATACCGATTGTGACCCCATCATACCCCCAGGAGTCATGATTTGGAAAACTTAGAATTGAAACCACCCCAAGATGCTTTTACATAAGATTTAGCTTTTCTGGCCCACTGGTTCTTGAGAAGATTTTCAAAGAATTTTCTTAGATAATTTCAACGTTTAACTTGAATTCCCTATTGTGGCCCCGCCCTATCCAGAGGGTCGTGACTGATTTCACTGATTTGAACAATTTACACTCTACACAACCACATCATAATGTGGATGATTTCACATAAGTTTCAGCTTTCCTGGCACAGTGCCGGTTATTTTGAATGATCCCATTCTATTTTTGTCTTTTCTTGATTATCTCTCCTTGCAAGAGGGGGTGGCCCTTCTTTTTAATAATTTAAACTCCCCTTTACCCAAGGATACGTTGTACCAAGTTTTGTTAAAATTGGCCCAGTGGTTCTTGAGAAGTTTTTTTAATGAAAGGACATCGGGTGATCAGAAAAGCTCACTTGAGCTTTTAATTAGCTCAGGTGAGCTAAAACTTATGAGTGTGAGAGAGGGAGAGGGAGGGTGTGTGTGTGTTTTAAGGTATGTTGGTAAATGCATAATCTTTTTCATCAATCTGATTAAAATCAACTCTTTGTGTTAACGCTCTGAAATTCAGATGTTCGCTGTACAAATAATGAGAAAAACCATCACATAGACTACCAGGTGATCTTTAGGACCCTTAAACTGTATTTTGAAAAAGGCCTTGATTTAGTGTTACTGGGGAAAAGCTCCTGATAGAAATAATCTGTGAGCAACTGTTAATTTGACTTACCAAGTCAATGGATAACAATACTCTCCGCTCCATCGCAGACTGGAATTCCTTGCCTTGCAAAAATGACGTTAATTAGGGCAGGTATTGAGGTAAAATGATTATCATACCTGTCACTTGACATTTTATGACGCCATGTAGAGGAGGTGTAAATATAATTTTAAAAAAATGTGTATTTCTTTTGTCACTTGTTTTTAATGCATCATTATTTGCATACGCATAATAATATACACATGTACAACGTCATAAAATAAAAATGTACAACAACAGCACTAAAAAAAAGGAACAGAATGAAACATGAAACATTGACGAATGACTCAATGATCCGCGGAACCATGAGATGGATTGTTATGAAAGGACGGTTGTAGAGATACGAAATAGAATGATTATGAAGTCATAAATAGCACCATTTGTGAATATTGCAATATTTACACATTAAGTTCTACGTATTATATACGGAATATACAGATTGTCAAATTGGCAAAACTGGATTTTATATTCATTGTTGACTGTCGAGCAGGTGTCAACTTCCGTGTCTTAAAACGTTGATAATTCACCATGCTAAGGACAAACTTTTGTCTCAACATCTAAAGTTCTCAATGAAAGACAAACCATAAAACACTAATACATCCTCAATAGGAGGGACTGACCGGAAACTTGTAAGGAATCGAGTCTGCGGGGAAGATGGGCGACTTGCTCTCGGTGAAAATCGGGGATCTAGAAATGTCTTCTTTGAATTCCATGCTTAAACTGTTTAATGAATTCACTTCCTGGTGATTAGAAAACGAAATATCAAGGGAATGAACACTGGAATGTAGTGAACTCGATTGCAAGGTCCCCGTGTTGCCTAGCATCGTCATGCTACTATGGCAACTACGCTGTTCGTAAAATTGGCGGGTTTTTCTCTTCTGTTCCCGCTCTTTCCTTATGTTTTTAACATTATTGTGTATCCTAAATGAAATAGCAATAGCCAAAAATATTGGCATAGTTCCTGCCACCGCAGACACAACAAGGGACCACGGGCCGCCCAGATCTTGGGTCTGACGAAGTCGTACGTTATCACTGCAGGCCTTTCCAACCGCTACCCACGTCAACAGTGCTGAAAAAAGTAAACGACTGATTAGAATACTATCAATGACTAAGTATCTACAGAACAAGCACATCAATGTCATTATACAACGTATAAATGTTCACTCTGAGAGCTCTACGTGAAGGTAGGTGGAGAAAGCAGACTTTATTAATGAATGTGTATCATCAGAACTGCCGGTACGAATGCCATTAAAAGTGAGATAATTGTCAAAGTATTTTTGTTCTTTGTTAATAATTTGTCCATCTGCAATAAGTGCAACACTGCACTAAGAAGATCAACCACACTACCATTCCTGGAAGGAAGGCGGCAAATTACATAATCATTACGACAAATACCTCATTCATTTCTTTTTTAAAACGTCAAAGACAAATTGGTTTATTCTATAAGGTGTACACAGAAGTATATAAATATTTGCCATTGTTCACTTCAGTCTAAATGTGTTCAAATATGCTGACTTTGGAAAAAAAGAGATTCCTTTAATGCAAAGACTTCCAGACCTCCTCAGAAAGATTCAATCTTTAAAGGACCTGGTATGTTAACAATGGGAGGTAAACAAATTGATTATATTTACCCCGATTATATCGAATTCCTGACATTCCCCAGAATTAAATTTCATAATCTGTATGTATATAAAGTTGGGAATTAAAATTAAGATTTTAATCAATTAAGGAATTTAAATGAAGTTTAAAATTTCGTAAGATTTAATTCTTCCGTTAATCTGCCTTTAATGTGGTCGAGTTAGCATAACCCGATAGGGACCACACTGCTCACTTAGTGAACACAACTAGGCGTAGCTGCTGAGAAATTACATAGAAAACCATACCACATGCGACGTGTATATGAATGTGGACGGAAAGGTGGGGAGGGGGGGAATCCACAAACGATACAGATGTAGGAATAAGACATAAAACAGACCCCATCCCAGATGTGCATGAGATCAGGTGCCTAGGTCAACACAATCCCTTGTTAGTCGGTCACACGCACCTTGCCCTAAGTATCGATCCGATCATGGTCGGAACCCAAGAGTTTTCTCTCCATTACAGAACACTGCATTCAACGTGTTACATATAGAGAAAATCCGTGGGTTCCGACGAATTGGTCAGAATAAGGAACACGTCATATTCAGTATTTAGTGTAAAACAAAGGTCAAATAACTAACATGAAATAAAGTGCCCTGCCACAGCATGATACGCCCATCAAATATTGTTCAATAATCATAAATTGGTTAGGGTGCAAGAAAATCAAGTAACCTTGATTAACAGATTGACACAGATTCCAATGATCTAATTTCCATTTCTTATCATGTTTAAAATATTGTACATATACATCTCTAAGAGACTTACAGTGTAGAGATTAATTAAAACAAATAATACATCATATAATTTTAAACTGACTGTGTTAGAGCTTAACAAATATCCATCTGCAGCTTTAATTTGTTTATTGCATATTTTATGAAATAATGGAAATGCTACAGTCAAATAAAAAAAAAAAATCAAAAAATAATTATTCTTTAGACTATAAAATTCTAAGTGAGACATGACTGCAATTTGTTGCAAATATATAAAAACTGAAATGTAATTTTTTTTTTCAATGAACACATGTATAATTAATTTTAATTATATTATACAATACTAATTCAGTTTTAATCATACACTAAAACATCAATTTGTTTTAATTACATTTACACCAATTGAAAGATCTTTATCTGAACTACAGCCATCAAGAACTCTTAATTAACACAAGCAACTATAAGGCCATTTCTTTTTGCCCAACTCCCAAGACATAAATTAAGATAATACTGCATGATGCTCTTGCCAGTTAACTCCTGACAATGAACTCATTAATTTCTCTCTAATTTGACATGCACATTTCTGCTATCAAAAATTCTCCTTGACCAGTGCTTGATAATTATGCACATGGGACAAACTGAATTCCTCTCAAATCATTAACATTTATTACAGAATTTGCTGTAAAGTATATGATGAAAAAATAAGTTTTTACTTAAATTAGCATTTTTTAATAAGGATACAACTATATTTTTACATTTTTTAGGATTATGAAATTTAAAATTTTAAAGACTTAGTTTTTTTTTAAAAAATCACTTAAATTAAAGGTCACAGTGACCTTGAAATAGGTCGTGACACATCGTCTACCCAAGATGCATAAATTGTCCAAGTTTGATGATTGTAAGTCTAATAGTTTTCTAGTTATGAGCCAAACAAAATCATAAAATAAAAAAGTGCCGCGCCACAGCATGATACGCCCGTCAAAAAATTACATTTTTCTTGAACAGTTTAGGTGCAAGAAAATCACATCAACCTTGATTCTAAGATTTCGATGATTTTTCCATTCCTTAAAATATTTATCCATCCCCTGCGATGTAGGCATCAATTATAATAAATATTACATCACTGATAGATTTCTGTGCTGATTGTGTTAGACCTTGTCAAATGCCCATCATCAAATTAGTCTTAACAACTTAATCTATACCAAATTAATTTTGAAAAGAAAAGGCTGGCCATCAAATGACATATGTTATAAACTGACCAGCAGTTCTTCTGTCTAATCCCCAAAGGGCACAGATAAGGTCACTGCTTAATTAGAGCGACTGAGACAGCTAGCCTTCCTACATTGAACTCATTAATTAATCTTTAACTGGATGCTTGTCTACTCATTACTACCAAGAGATGAATGGGTCTGCACTATCTACTATAAATTTAATAAAATACTCAAAGATTTTTTTTTTTGGTTGAGATTTAATGTCCGACAGGTTTTAATATGTAATTCATATGGACATGCTGATTCCACCCCACCCCAAAAAATTAGTTTTTAAATTAATAATATTACATAATATCAGATCAGTCTATTATGCAATATCAAATTAGTTTTAATTATTTTTCATCAAATACATTTTAAAACTTAAGCTAGTCAACAAGAGCTATTTTTAATCAAACAGGCTTACCCATTTGCCCAATACTCAAGGGATATAGATAACACCAATCCTAGCTCCTCGCACTCAAAACCCATTAATTTCTCTCTAATTTGACATGCAATTTTCTGTTATCAAAATTCTTCTTGACCTGCAGTGCTTGATAATTACACTCATGGGAGAGGCAGGATTTCTCTGACATACATTATATTTGTTATAGATTGCTGTCAAGTATATGCTTAAAAAAAATAAGTATTTTCTTGATTTAACACTTTTTTAATAAGAACAGTGCAATACTCTTACATTATTTGGGATGTGTAAATGAATAGTAAAAAGACACTTTTTTTTTTTTAAATTCACTTAAATTAAAGGTCACAGTGACCTTGAAATAGGTCGCGACACACCTTCTACCTAAGATGCATAAACTGGCCAAGTTTGATGATTGTAGGTCTTATGGTTTTCTAGTTATGGGCCGGAAAGGATTTTTCCATATTTGGTTATAACTTCTTAAATAAAGGTCAGAGCGACCTACTTTTTGTGCGCGACACACCTTCTACCCAAGATGCATCAGATGACAAAGTTTGATAATCCTAGGCCTAGTAGTATTAAAGTTATGAGCCGGAAACGAAAAAGCTAACAGACAGACGGACAGACGGACGGACACGAAGCCTATAACATAATACGTCCCGTCTTAAGACGGGCGTATAAAAATAAGAGACAAATTTAACGTGGTGTGCGACGGGTGCCCCTTTCATGTCCACCACTTAGGATTTAAACTTTTAAAGTTGTTTAATGATATTTAGAATTTGAAAAAAAACAAACCTATGCATCCAATATTAAGACATCTACAATATTTCAAAGGGATATCAGATTCATCCTCAGAGGCACCTAAACTCGTCCGAAATCATTTCAACTGATTTTATACGTACCTGAAACAAGATAGAGGGAGACGGTCAGACAGCCGGAGAGGGTCGACCTCACCGAGTCCTCCCGTGGGTTATAGATGATCAGGAAAACGGTGGCCAACACACACAGGGCTACCCCGAACAAAGTCAGCAGTCCGTACTCCAGGCGCACGCCTGTATAAAGGAATTTACACTCAATGATTAGTGTCTTACTTCTTTGATCTGGCAAATTGCAAATCAAAATGATTTTTTTTAATTCGACAAATTCATAACATCGAAAATGTCTGCAGCCATGACAATTAAAGCCTGAAAATTCTACAAGAGAACTTCTCAAAATTCTAGCCAATGAACAAAAAGAAAACCCACCCAAAAGCTACATCAAATGGGTGAAAAGAAAAAAAAAATCATTTAACCTCAGACTATACTCAGTAACCGCACAGCAAATATATTTTAAGTCAGGAACTTTTCCTCTCCGTCATGTCCGTGGGAAAGCACAGTATAAAATATATACATGTCTTGTGTGTTGTGAACAATTTTAAAGGAATGAAAAGAACTTTTAAAACTTCTTTAAAGCACATTTACAGGAAAATTTATATGTATCAATTTAAAAGCAATAAACGGTAAACTTTAAATATAAATTTTCACTTTAAAGAATCAGCATAGATTACAAGAAATATGTAGTCCAAGGTTAGGTCTAAAAATATAATTAACTATAACCGGTAAAACAAAATATGTCTGGAACAAGTAAAAAGGAAAACATGCCAAAAAAGGAAATATAAGTGGTCATTTGTAATTCTAGACAATAAAGTCATCCTCACAGGGGACAAACCATAGTCATGGCTCGGGGGACTCGAGTGTCCTCTCACTCTGTCAAACAAGACCACAGTAGAAATCCACTTCATCTTACACGACAGTCAAAACAATGAATCACCGGCGTCTTATGTAACAATCAGAAAAGATACTCACTACTTCAAAGTACAAGTACATGTACTTAAAAGTACCATTGAGACAATAAAAGTGAGAGAAAACAACACTTTAAAATAAAGAAATATGAAGGGGAGACACTCAAAACGGATAATGGTAAAAATAACATCTATGAAATTATATCACTGTAAATCCTGAAACCTCCGATTCGGAAAATCCAAATAAATAATATTGAGAGAGAGAGAGAGAGAGAGACTTACTTCCTATGGCCGAATCTGATGTGGTCAGTAGACTTTTACACAGGGATAGTCCCGAGGACACATCACAAGACAGCGAGTACCACAGTCCGTGTACCAGTCGTCTGTCCGTGGTCACTACCACCACCCACCAGGGGGTCACGGTCCCTGTCATCAGCCCCAGGGACGTGAAGACCCCCAGCACCACCAGAATCTTCCTCCGAATGTAACACAACACGGTCATTATTACCCAGCCTTCTGCATTCTTCTGTCTTGTTTATGTGCCAGTACTAAATATATATCATATAAACTGTCAACAGACACTGAACGATGGCATTCCCTCGCACGTACAATACAGGTGTAATACAATGACGGCTTATTATGAGCCTTCAGGTAACGTGTCGTAAGTCCAGCGTTATAATCGCCAGCTAGTTGTCCTCAGAATGAATGAAATACACAACATGTGCTTCGAAAGACCTTCCCGGTGAGGTAATATCCGGTCCCCAAACTCAGCGTTTAAATGTAGCTGAAACGATAAGCACGCCTTTCTTAAATCTCGTTTGTAACTTTCTACCCTACTTGATAGCAGGCTATGTCAACAATGTTTGAAAGGTCAACAGGAAGTTTAATTCTTTATAAAGGGCCATTTTTAAAGGATGACTGCGTTCTAGGCCCATCATGAGTAATTCTTTGATTTCTATACAAAGGATAATAATTGACACATAGCCAAATAATGAACAAAACTTTTTTTAAAGCAGGGATAGAACAAGGATCTTATCTGTTTGTCAGTTTATGGCAGTTTTTATTTAGAAGCTCGCTTTGTCATACGAGAAGATGCGAGTGTATTGTTGATCGTTCAAGTGTATAAACAGACGACCACCGAAGTTGTCTAATAAGGGCCTCTATCTATAAGTCACGCAACAGGTGCAAACATTTCTGTTCAAAAGCCGAGGGACTCCACCCCACTTCATCCACCCAGGGCCTTTCAATTTTTTTTTAAAATAACTTTTCTTGTAATGGATTTGTATAATTATTATATGAAATCGATAAATCACTAACGAAAAATTATCAAAAAGTTATAAATGCATTTTATTATTTGATTAAAATAATAATTTCAAACTCTTATAAACAACTTACAAATTCATGTTGTTGTAGTAGGATACGGATTTTTACATGCCATATCCTTAATTTAGCTATTCCATCTCTTTGATTTCATTTTTGGGGGAGAGAAAAAGAAACATAGCTATAAGTTAATCATTCTAAAAATAGCATTAATATTATTATGTTCCCCAAACGAAGTTGGGGAACATATTGTTTTTACTCTGTTTCTTCTTCTTATTATTAAGGTCTTCCGTCTTCACGGAAGACCTTATAGTGATTCTACTGTTTCTTATTATTCTTATTATTATTATTATTTTTGACAAAATTTTGTGCAGGCGATTTCTCGAAAACTATTCAGTGGTTTTTCATGAAACTTTCACAAAATATGCGTCATTATATGAAGTTGTTACATCCGAAGAGTAATTTGGAAAATTCGCTTCTGGTGCCAAGATATGGACAATTTCCTGATTTAAAATGCGATTTTGTCGCGCACTTTTATCGAAAATGGCTAAGGATATGAACTTGAGACTAATTGGAGATGATAGATCATGACTTTGTGGATTGCAGAATCGCCTTTTCGTGCGTCGTCAGTACTTCCGGTCGTTACGAATTGCAAACTTTAAAAAATCGTATTTTCTAACTTTGTTGTTTTTCAGTATTTTTCATTTTTATTTGGTATGGTAATAGAAGCCCTCCTTATAATGCTTACTATTTAATTTGTTTGAATGTTGATCAATCTAAAGTCTAGATATTTGCATTCAAAAATCTGAAGCGGGTCCAAAATGGCGGCTATCTCTGTCAACTCCGCCATTTCGCGAGTAGGGGTTTATGGAGGCAGCTGAGCGTTTGATTAAACCATTCTGACATAAGGATACATGAAATGTAAAAATCTACTTCGACTCTCACGTAGTATTAAATGGTTGGAGGAGTTACCTCCCGTTACTTGTTTATATTATAATAGATAATCAATGTAAATATTGTAATTAATTGGTCAATTGACTAAAGAATTAAACAAGTATTATTGATAAATGATGTTCTGTTAGAAAATAATAATGGTGTTGCCAAGAGAAAGACAGTCTGTTTTATTTTATCAATACGATATCTGATAACTTATGATCATTGATTAAGTTGAGGTACACGGGGGCAGTACAGCCAACTGGTTTGTGTCTTCACTTTGGTACAGAAACCAATTGGTTTATCGATCAAATAGGATTGTGTAAAGTTGCCGTAGTCAGGGACTAGTTAAAATGTAGCTGTGTGACATTAGCTATAGGTTTGTCATTAGGACAGAGAAGCTCTTACAAAGTTAAATCAAGTACTTCATACTGTGTAAGTATATTGTAGCCACTTGGCTAGAGTTGTATAGGCAACTTGGTAAGCAGTTATACACCAGGCAGATGTTAAAGGCTAAAACAAGAAGCACCAGGCAGATAGAATGATGTTGACTTATATAGTCAGTTGTACGAGTATAGTGAGGCAATTATCATATGGCACCAGGCAGGTGCCGGTATTAACTGAAGATATATAATTATACAAAGCACTTAGGTCATTTGATTTAAAGACACCAGGCAGGTGTCATATTATTATCTGTATATATTGCATTCAATCATATCCCCAGTAAAACTCGGTAATCCGAGCACGGACCTACTGACCGCTCAGATCCGACACGTTACAGTAGTACGTTGCAATTGAGTGTTAATCTTAAAACTTAATTTCCGTTTCACTGCTTTAGTGTAACTGGGCTAGATACGATATGTAATGTGTATAATGTGTTACATATACTTTCTTAACGTCAAACTTAAAAAAGGCGCTAGGAATGGTTTATTCTTAAAATTTAATTGATGCTATCATACCTATCTAATAGATCAGTCCAAAGAAAAGGCGCGAATATTTACTCGTGGCGTTTGGCGCGAAATTATTAATGCTTTTTATAATTCTTAGACAGGTGAACTGTTGCAAAAGTACCGTGGTATACACAAGTATATTTAGAGCAGTACTCCCAATAGCTTAATTGTTAGCGCGTTGGGGATATAAAAGTAAAAAAAAAAAGCGCATTCACGTTGGCGACAAGGTTTCAATCCTCCTTGTGACCAAAATTTTGAATCTCTTTTCAGCTCGATTTTATGTGGGTTTCTTTTCCTAAAACGGACGGAAGACCTCTCGTTGCTCGCAACGAGATCGTTTCTAGTTATTATTATTTTTCTTCCTGGGAAAATTTTGTACTTGAGTGATCTTGTAAACTACACATCTGACTAAGGTAAAATGTTTTTAGGGTCAGTAGACATGTAATGTAGATTTGCCGAACAAAGGTCATTTTGCGCGCACGTGCTTGCAAGAGCGCGCACATGCAACACTTGAAATGACCGATTTAATTGATATAGGCATAACTGTTCAATTTTTGATGAAATGCTTTGAAACTCATAATATAAGGATATATTTGTGGCATAGACAATATGACATGGTCGAAATAGCAAGATCTCACGCGCATGCACGTGTGCTTCGCTCTGATTGGCTGTAACTAAAGTCTCTATATCTTTCTTGTTTTTTGACGAAATCCTTTGAAATTTTGAACATAGCCATGCATTAAGATATCCTACAACATGATTTATAGCAATTATCTTGAAAACACGTGCATGCACGTGCGCTGCAATCTGATTGGCTGAAACTTTGAATAGCTATAACTCCCTTGGTTTTCAACCAAACAGGATGGGATTTGGAACATATATAGATATAATGAACTTCTACTAGAAGGTATGGTCACCATGCACATGCATACACGTGCGTGTACGTGCGCTGCAATCTGATTGGCTGAAACTTTAAACAGCTATAACTCCCTTAGCTTTCAACCAAACAGGACAGGATTTTGAACATAGATATATATAATGAACTTCTACAAGAGGGTATTTTTTTTACACCATGCTCATGCATGCACGTGCGTGCACGTGAAATGGGTAAAATCAAAAATACACTTGAATGAGCGTTTTTTTTTTATACTTTTGGATTAAATACTTTAATATTTAGCATATTAAAAAATATAGATTGTGTAGACAATATGATATGGTCATTACGCACATGCATTCACATGCGCAAGTGTGCAATGATAAAATTTGAATGAACATGGTACGCTTCTGGGTAAAAGTTCTTAAAGTCTCAAATGCATAGAGTTTGCCTTATTTAATTACGCTTACAGGGAATATGACTATAAAAGGGAGTTGGGAGCGTTTGGGGAACATCTGTAACGGTCCCCGTTACAATTAGCACTAGTAATAAATTGTTTTTAAAAAGTTCGAGTTACAAACATTGCAAGAAATCACTGATCAATTCTCATTTCAGGAAATTCGATTTCTCTAAAAATGAATTTATTTTTATAGTTTCATGGGGTACAAATGTTAATTTTTAACAATTTCATGACCAAGACATTAAAAAAGGAAAATTAATGTATACTAGTATGGCATGTAAAAAGCTAATCTATAAAAATAAAAACCTTACCTTTAATACTATCTTAACAAATCTTAAAGTTTAAACAATCGTCATCATTTACTCACTGAATTGCAAACGGATTTTTCCTTCTTTCTCCAGATCATGACAAGGAGCACACAACGAGTTTGACCGGTAGGCAGGTGATGCTCACTCCTCCATGGTACCTGATTCCATTTCTGATGTTTTGGAGGTCCATGTTTAATCTGTTCCTAATTTGTACGAGTATTGTTTGAATTGACCTTTGAGCTTGAAAACTCTTTGTCATTTCCATATATCATTATAGAAAATGCAGTTGATTTTATTTTATAAAAAGAAACATTCAGAAAGGACAGTAAGACGAATTCCACTTTGTTTTACTGTACGAAAAAATTAAGAGAAAAAAAACACACTAAGATATTAAGTAAATCATGTTGGTGACAGCAAATTGGACTCATCAAAATAATACCGTAGATGAAAAGCACATGCTATTTAATGAATTTAAAATAATACAAAATTATATTTATTACAATACTATAGTATACGTACATGTTTAGAAATATGCACAATGTCAAAAACTTTTACCATTTTCTATAATGTGAGCATGTAGGCCTGTATTGTCTTATTCTTAAATCATGTAACCTATGAACGATGTCCATGTTTTTATGTAATCTGAGTTATCTGACTGTAGCTGTAATATGAGGAATAACCGCTTGAAAACTCTAGCCTATAAGGCATGCGAAACGTTTGTATATATAATTTTCCATTTATATTGTAAGAATTTTCCATTTGTATTGTTTAATTTTTGTTTTGTATATGTAATAATTTTATCAATATTCTACAATTTCCATTGGTATTCTATAAGCCATTTGAGTTCTATAACTAAATTTTTGTATTTTGTATTTTTCATTTGTATTGTAAAAAAAATAATATGTATTGTAAAAGTTTCTCTTTGTACTATAAATTTTCCAATTGAAATGTATTATTTCTTATAGTCCCCCGCTTTTGCGAAAGCGAGGGGACAGTAAATCTCATT